ACATAGAGCCCCTCCCCAGGCCCCCCACTGGAGCAGAACCGGGGGCATTGCCGGTTCTGCTGAGTCGCGAACAGGTCCACCTGGGGAGTTCCCCACCTTAGGAAGAGCCGGTGGGCCACTTCCGGGTGGAGGGACCACTCGTGTTGCAAGGAAAAGTCCCTGCTCAAGTGATCCGCCCTATCATTCTGGGCGCCCGGTAGGTGGAAGGCCTTCAGGTGGATGTTGTGGGCTATACAGAAGTCCCACAGCCCAAGAGCTTTGCGGCAGAGGATCAGGCCCCGCCTTGCTTGTTGAAATAGAACATGAGGCTGTGTTGTCCATGAGGATCCTACCTTGCCCTCCAGGTGCGAGCACAAGGCCATACACGCCAGCCGCACCGCCCTGAGCTCCTTTACGTTTATATGTAAGGTCAGGTCTTGAGCCGACCATGGACCTTGGGTCTGAAAGTTCCCCAACCCAGATCCGACGCATCGGACACCAGCTCCAACAACGGGGTCCTGTCCCTGGACCCCTTGGAGCATGTTGTTTGGGGTGGACTACCACCGTAGGGAGGTGATCACAGAATCCGGCACAGTGAGGACCTTGTCCATCCGGTCCGTGGCCTGGGAGAACTTCGAGGCCAACCAGATCTGGAGGGGCCTCATCCTGAGTCCGGTGTAATGGACCACGTATGTGCATGCTGACATGTGACCCAAGAGTTGTAGACAAACCCTGGCTGTTGTCACCGGGAACCTTGTGACCGACTCGATGAGACCTTTCAGGGTCTCGAATCTGTCTGGCGGGATAGAGACCTTGGCTGACACTGCGTCCAGGAGCCCCCCAATAAACTTTATGCCTTGGACCACGACTAATGTGGACTTGGTGTTGTTTACCAACAGGCCCAAGGCAGTGCATGTGGACAGGAGGAGCACCACATGATCCCTCACCTGCAACCGGGAGGTGCCCTTGACAAGCCAATCGTCCAGATAGGGAAATATCTGGACCCCCATTGCGTAAGGTAGACTGCTACCACCGACACGCATTTCGTAAACACTCTCAGGGCAGTGGACAGACCAAACGGGAGGACAGTGAATTGGTAATGATTCTGTCCCACCACAAAACAGAGGATGTGCCCCTCAAATATGTGGATGTGGAAGTACGCGTCCTGTAGATCGAGGTCAGCGTACCAGTCCCCGGGATCCAGGGAGGGGATGATGGAGGTCAGGGAGACCATGTAGAACTTGAGCTTCACCATATACTGGTTCAGACGTCAGAGGTCCAAGATGGGCTTGAGCCCCCCCCTTTGGCCTCCGGGATAAGGAAATAATGGGAGTAATACCCCTTGCCCATGAACTCCTCAGGCACCGCCTCTATCGCTCCTAGATGAGCAGAGCTTCATGTGAGGGGTCCCCCAAGGGGGATGGGGAGTGGTTGGGCGGGTAGGAAGTAAACTGGAGGGTATAGCCCCAGAGATGGTGTTGAGAACCCATCGGTCCGAGGATGGCCGCAACCATTCCAGGAGGAAAGCACACAACCGGTTGGAGAAGGGACGCTTTATTGGGGGTGGATCCCTGATGAGGACCGGTGGGGTACCCCAGAGCATCCCTTCAAAAATGCCCTTTCCCAGCCTGTTGGCTTTGGAGGACCCAGGCTGCGGGGCAGGCCATCTCTTATAGTCCTGCTGCTTCTTATGGATGGCCTTGTACTTCGGGAGGGCAGTCTGGGTGGCAGTCTGCTGTGGCTTGATCTTAGGTTTTGCTGGAGCTGGGACATAGAGGCCCAGAGTCTGGAGGGTCATGCAGGAGTCTTTCATGCCATGTAGCCTTGTATCTGTTTCCACTGCAAACAGCTTTCCCATCAAACAGGAGATCCTGCATGGAAGACTGCGCCTCGATGGACAGCCCAGAGAGCAGGAGTCATGATGCCCGTCTCGTGGACACAGCGGAGGCCACTGATCGTGCAGCAATGTCCGCAGCATCCGAGGCTGCCTGCAGGGACGCCCTAGCGGCCGCTGCCCCTTCCTCCATTAGCGCCTAGAACTCCTTCCTATCGTGCTCCTGGAGGGAGTCCTCAGACTTGGGCAGGGAGCTCCACAAATTGAATTCATACTGGCCCAGGAGAGCCTGATGGTTTGCCACTCGTAGCTGGAAGCTCGAAGATGAATAAACTTTCCTTCCGAAAGAGTCCAGTCTTTGAGTCTGTGTTCTTTGGGGTCAGGGTTGGCTGACCCTGCCGTTCCTTGTGGTTGACTGACTCGACCACCAGGGAGTTGGGCTCCGGGTGGGTATACGAGTACTCATGCCCCTTAGCGGGTACAAAGTACTTGCGTTCAACCTTTTCAGAGATGGGGGCCAACAAGGCCAGTGTTTGCCACACAATATTTGAAATCTTAGCCACCCCTTCATGGAGAAGCAAGACCACCCTACCTGGTGCCGAAGGGGACAACACGTTAAACAGGGAGTCTGAGGGCTCCTCCATCTCCTCTGCCTGCAGGTGGAGGCTTGCTGCCACCCTCTTTAAGAGTTCTTGGTGAGCCCTGAAGTCCTCCTTCAGGATTGAGGGTGGGTGGGCCGAAGAGGCCGGTGTGATGCTCTGGGTGTCGGCCGGCACCGGAAGGTCCACCACGTGGTTGGACTCTGGGCAAGTGCCGAGGACACACGTCTCACTGTTCCCTTTCTCGAGGGTCTGGAGAGGGAGGCCGACGGTGCCTCCGAAGCTCCAGCCACAGAGCAAGCTCCCACTGGAGGCTGCGCCGGAGGCCACGGTGCCCACTGGTACTATTGGGCCAGCCACGACGCTCAGTGCCACTGCACCTGCTATGGCACCGGCAGCACTGGCTGTTAGGGTTGGCTGGCCTGGCCCGGCCCATCAGAGGACGGCTACGAATGGAGACGGGGCTGGCGTAAGATCTGCTGCTGTCTCTGGACCGGGAGAAACGGCAGTGCAGGGATCTACGATGGCCACAGGACCGTGATCTCAACATGGAGGACCGGTACTGGCGGTAACAGCTGCTCCGCGAACAGCCTTGATGGGCGGACCCACGACAGCAAAACACCAGCGATTGATGCCTAGGGCTGTGATGTCTTGGCAGAGACTTGGAGTGGGAGTCCAAGCGGGAACGGCGGAGACAACCGTGCCATGAGTAACTCAAGTACCCTCTCAGAGACGAGGACTGATGGCGATGCCTGCTGCGGTCCCACCAATATTCACTCCTTGAGGACAAGCGGTGCCACGAGTCCCGGACGGACGGAACCCAGCCAGACAGTCTGGTTACCGTCAAGGGCGATCCACCTGGACTCTGGCCCGAGCGATCGCTGGGTGGTGATAGGCGTCAGGAACGTTCCCTTGACTGAGACTGGTACCAGGCCAGAGGCAACTGTGGAGATCCCAGCGGCGGCTTGCCTCTGGAGCACGGGACTGACATCGGCGGTGCTCTGGGTACTGGCATGGACATAATGTCCCCGGCCTCCTGGAGGGCTTCAGGCGTGGACGGCATCCGGACATCTGGAGAGGCCTGTTCTGAAGGGGCCGGGCTATTCTGCTCAACGTGAGTCGGAAGCCTGGGCCCCGGTGGGAATCGAGGACTGCCCGACATGGGCCTAGCCTCTGTCCCAGACATCCCTCAGTGCCGCTAAGAAGGAGTCTTCTTGGCCCTCTTGGCATGCCCCGTGGACGGGGAGTGGTGTCGACTGGCCAATGGCACCAGAGGGTTGCCGTGTACCGACGGCACAGTGCCGGGTACTGGTTCGGAGCGGCATGCCCGAGTTGGGGTCAGCGCCGACTCCATCAGGATGGCCCGGAGCCTAATGTCCCTTTTTCTTTTGGTCCGATGCTTAAATGACTTGCAAATCTTGCACCTTTCGCAGACAGTCTGCGTGCAGGTCACTTCTTGGCACAGAATGCCTGCAAGAGCCGCACGATTTAAACTCCAGGGTGCGGGGCATGCCCCGGCCCGGGCTCATTGACTAACTACAGGTACCAGCGCTGAACAAACCAACAGTTCTGGGGACGAGCTGCAGCAAAGCTGGCGCAGAGCAGTTCCGACGCACCTTCACTGGCGGCAAGAAGGAACTGAGGGTGGGGGGAGTGCGCAGCTCCCGTTATACCGTGCCAGGCAGGCGCCACTTCAGGGGTCGCGGGGGGCGCTTCCCCCTACGGGTACTGCTAGGGGAAAAACTTCCAGCACCGGTGCACATGGCGAGCACGACACCTATTGTGGAATACACATGAGCAATCATTCAAAGAAGAAATATAAACTACAGTGGAACCTCATGAACATCTCGGAAATGGAGGTTGTTCGTAACTCTGAAATGTTTGAAACTCTAAATAAAATGGTATGATCTTTCAAAAGGTTACAACTGAACACTGACTTAATACAGCTTTGAAACTTTGCTATGCAGAAGAAAAATGCTGCTTTTAACTATCTTAATTTAAATGAAACAAGGACAGTTTCCTTACCTTGTCAATTTTTTTTTAAAAACTTTTCCTTTATTTTGCTGTTAATTTACATTTAACAGGACTGTATTTGTGATGTGTGTGTGTGTGTGTGTATCTTGGCTGCTGCCCGATTGCCTACTTCCAGTTCCAAAAGATATGTTCGTAACTCTGAGGTTCTATTGCATGGGCCAAATTTTGTTTGTAATTCCCACTGAACTCAATGGGACTATTTGCATGAGCAAAGACAGGATTTGGTCCCGAGTCTTTAGTTTTCTGGAAATCCTCCCTGAAACTGCTGTTGTGCTTCTCCGAAAGCACCCCACATTGGGCTGGGCTGGTCACTCAGAGGCACATCTTTTCTACAGTATACCTAGTTTTGTATTTTGTTTGCATGACTGTTCTGGGACCTTTATAGTCTGAGGAACTAGGTTAGGCTTCCTTTTTCTCCTAAACAAACTGTAGATTTGCCAGGGGGATGTAAACTCCTGTGTTGGGGTAGGGAGGTAGAGAACAGAAAACTGCCCCCCACTCCCAACAAGACGGAATGGCCAGTTGGCAGAATAACTTGACGAGATACCACAGTATTAAATGCTTAGCAGCCAAACACATTTATTAGTCTCTTTTTCCAGGAACCCAAAAATATTTTGTAGTTATAATGTAAGCAACTGAGTTGCACATAATACAATCATATCTTTAAAAAACATAAAAATAAAATAAAAACAAAAAAGCTGTTTAAAAGCCCAAAAAAACCTTCAGAAAACTTATATATGTATTACACCATCTCTCAGTTTCAATGAAATGACGACGACTTAATTCCTTATTACTCTTAATTTGTCACACTCCAATAAAACATCACCCTTTTGTTTGTTTTTTTTGAAATCCAGCATGAGAAATACAGTACCTGCTATGGCAAAAAATACACATAAAATGCAACATTTCAGCTTATTTGTACATTAGTAGAGTTTAAACATTTTATTGTTTTTAAGTGAACCAGTGATTTTAAGTACCACTATACTAAAAGTAAAATAAAAATACAGAAGAGGAGGAGAAGGGGGGCAGCCTGCCATACAAAAGCACCTCAAAGTGCTGAGTTTCTGTGTCCATGGAAAACCACTAGGATATTCAAACATCAGGGTGTATAGATGGGAATTAAGATGAAACCTGGGCATGAAAGGAATTGTGTCACCTCCTCTTTATTCTCCCTTGTCGGCTTTCTTTGCTGCCCATCCGGGGGGAGGGGGAGGTTGGGGGAAGAAACCAGAATTAATATAGTTTTTAATAAAGAAAGCTATTTCAAGTATAAGAAAAAAAACACTCATAGGTAACTTGCAAAGAGCATCAATACGCGCATCCACTATTTTTATTATTACGTCTGCTCATGGGGGACAGTGCTTCAGCAAGAGGGCTTTAGATGTACCTTCCTGTTACCTTATTTATGTGCAAAGTACGAAAGCTGCCTTTTCTAATCCAGCAGTTTTGGACATCAGTGATTATCCACTCTGCACTTACTTATTTATTTAAAGGAAGGAGAGAGGAAAGGGAAACTATTTTAGAAACACGGCTAGATTAAGTTAACCTCTTCCTCCATTCCTCCTCAAGACACAGCCCTCCCCCATTACCTGACTTGATTGTTAGCAATGAGGAAAACTTCACTAAGCCTGGGATGCCCACCATTAGCCAGTTTCCTGATCAGGTAGAAAGCATTTGTCTTTGTAAACATAGCTCCTTAGTTAGGTCTGTGGATTTCAAAGCAGCATTTCATGTTTCCATCGAAATGGTGGAATCTAAAATAGTTTGGAACCCTTCCCCACCATTTGCTTTCCTCACTTCCTCAACCCTTCCCCCCCCCCAAAAAAGGTTGTTTTTGGTATTTATTTGGTTCTTTTGGAAAAAGACATAACATTTAATTAACAAGTAAACAGTGCAGAGTTACCATCAGCAGAGCTATGCAATGTTTGTTCTGTTTTCGGTATAGGAAGGAAAGAACACCACATCTGTTAGATATTCTGCACCTCAGAAATTGTGTGCAATTGCACGCAAATTTTAGGGGCACCTGGGCATCATTTCAGTTTTGTTCTTTGTGGAATCACTGGACAGATTTCACTTGTGTGCTGGCAGAGGTGGAGAGGGTGACATAGGGCAGCAGTGAAGAGATGATCCTAAGGCCACAGGAAGCAATCCAACGGACGGAAAGGGCCAGTGAAGTGTCAGAAAGGAAGGCTTCAAATACAGAACTGAAACCAAATCTCAAGATTTCCAAGACCAAATTCCAAAGGCATGGGCTCATATGCACATCCCTGAGACACTCATCTATGACAGAAGAAACTGACCACAACATGACCGGAGAGGGGAGAAAGTATCAGAGGTTCCCTGACATCTGTGGGATTTACCCAACAAAGACCTCTTCCCCCACCCACCCTCTCAGAGATTCTAGGTGAGCTGTAAGGCATATACATAAGCAGCATCTACTACTGAATGTCATGCTCTCTGTTTCAATGTACTATTGGTATATGATGGCTTCTGTGTATTGGGGACAAGGTGACACCCTATTTGAAGTGGCAGTATAACAACACTTTCATAAATTACGGGGAGCTACACTGTCCTCTATTCCTAGAGCAGCATAAAGTGACAAGGCTCTTCATTTTACAATCCCCACGAGATCTACAAGATACTCCTCCCTTCCTGAAGGCAGGAAGAGATGCGTCCATGGAGGGATGACACTTCACCACCCAATGTCTGTTTAAAGGCAGGGAAAAGATGACACACTGCATCCAATTTAAAGATCTGGTGGAAGAGGAGGAAAGTTGCAAGTACATCAATCCAACCAGGTTCAATGTCTGCTTAAAAGAATGGGCTTGTGACCTATAGCAAAAACAGCATTACTGCATATGGAAGGCAGGGGAGGAGCCTGATAGAGAGGGGAAGGAGAAAGTAAGCAATATGGATGGTTTAAGCTCTCCATTGACTTCTGCTTAGCGAAGTCATTTAGGATCTAGATTTTTTTGATGGCTTGAACATAGAAGTGTTGTAGGTTCCCCCGATCCCACCCCAAGCAAACAATGTTAAGAATGAGTTATCTTGCTGTTAAAACTCATAATACTTATATAGTGCTTTTCATCTTCAAAGCACTTTACAGACAAGAACTCGCTAATCCTCACAAAACCCCTGTGAGGTAGGTTAGTATTAATATCGCCATTGTACAGATGAAAAAACTGAGGCAGAGAAGTTAAGTGACTTGCCCAAGGCTAAGAGAGGAAGAATAAGAGCCAGGATTAGAATTAAAGAGTTCCAGGCTCTCAGTCCTGTGCTCAAACCACTAATCTAAGCCTCTCTCCCAGGAGGAGATCTAAGAAGCGGATAAGCCCACCAAGGTTGGAAGAGAACACAGGGCTTAAAAGGTTACATTAAAAAGGGAAATGTACCATGAGGTATTTTGTGATGAAGAATTGAAACTTCAGGATTTTTTTTATTTTTAAAAGGCAATCCAACAGAGTGGAACCCTGATAAGATCACATCTGTAAGGCAGGCACAGATGTGAGGAGAGTGTCATCATCAAGTCTATTACTCATTACAGTACTGCGAACGTCAACAAAAAATAAAATTGCTGCATGACAAACACTGAATACAGGCAAGATAATCTCTCAGTTATGATACTGTTATCTACGATAATGCCAAGGTAATTAATGCAGGTACCATGGTTCACCATGGGCAAGGGAAAGTCAAGTCAACACAAGGCTCCTATTAAGACAATGAAGAGGGCAGTGAGATTTACATTTTTCTACGAGGAGACCACTCCAAGAAGCCCACTGAGCTCTAGGTGTAAGTGACAAAATCAACTGCATTTTGGGGGTGAGAACGTGAAGCCACTTCCCAGTACACAAGGCTAATTTCTTTAATTTAGATGGCTTTATCTACGTTAGTTTTTGTTCCCTAAAATTTTCCATCACTACCACCACCGCTACACCACCAGTGGTGGCACTAGTATAGACAAGGTATTGGTGGTTACTAGTGTTTTAACTGCCAAGTTCTCCTACATCTGCTCTGATCAGGGCTAGAAGATAAGTTAGCTACAACACCAGCACCCGATCTCTAATAGTGCTCCCACCCACTAGAGCTGCAACAGAGATAGCAACAGTGGCAATTTTAGGAAAAGGTTCCCGTAGACAGTTTATGAGTAAGGAGCGGTTGTGTTCCAATTCTCCTAAGAGAGTGGCTGTTTTAATGGAAAGTGAGTAGGTAAATCCCAAAAGACAGTGCTTGAGGCACTCTGTTTCCTGAGCTTGAAAGAGGCCTTAACACAGAAGGTGGTCAAATCATTTTCCAGGGAACGTTGGGGTCTCATGTCACACTGTTGGCCCTTGGTTAACACTGCACAGCTAGAATTCACAATCCTGCAGAATTTGAGTTGAATTTTGGAATCAATCTTAACTGAATTCTCCAAAACTGTCTAGTTCTCAAAACTGCCGACTTCTGAAAAGAGAAGACGTTCCCAAGAGTCTCTTTCTCTTTCGAAGTCATCACTCTGTCTCCTTCCCTCCACACCAACATGGATGCACCATGGACACAGAAACTGCTGAACAGTTTAGCAAAGCTACCTCTTCTTCCCCTACATCCTCCCAGCAGAATGCATAGTTTACAATTCACTTACAAAATAAAGAAGCAATGCTGACCACATATGGGACCTTTTTTTTTTTTTTTTTTGGAAAAAGAAAAAAAAACCTCTTCTTAAGTTCAGTATCAAAATTCACATTTGCATAATAATACATTTCAAGGCCATTAGAGAGGAATGAGAGCGAAGCAAAGAAAGCTGCAGCGTCTCTCCTCCCTTTGTCTTCCTGAATGGAGCTGAAGGATCCCACAAGGAGTTTCTTCTCGGGGTGAGGACTGAAAGGGGCTAATGCAACAGCTCTTGCACACCTCAGATTTGGGGTGAAGAGGTGGAATAATAGGGAAAAACAAATGGAAGGAGACACTGTAGATTCCCATGTTTAGCTACAAACAGCTTAGAAGAAAAAAAATTACTTCAGACTTTTTTCTTTTCTTTTTTAAACACTTCTACCTCACCATTTCAAAAACATTGTTTTATTCTTGTAATACCCTGTTAATTTAAATGGCAACGTTCAATGTGCTGGAAGTTGAAGGGGTGAAAAAAATATAAATTTTCCTGTTTCTCTCATTAGGACATGGAAAGAAAGGGTAAAAGTGTGCCTATACCCACAAATTGCAGAAGCTACAGAACACCTTCTCTACATGCATAAATGTGTCTCAAATATCACTGTTTCAATTCTCCAGTGCTTACAAAAAATTAAAGCAAGCCACACACACACAAACAAAAGAGAAGCTACATAATACAAATATAAATTCAACCTGCAACTGCGGACTAGCCTAAAACTATCATCAGCGTCTGTGCATCATGTCATGTCCCTTCCCACATCCCAAACCTCTACACCACTTACGATTACTGTGCAGTGTAGAGACTAGCCCAAAGATGCTACTTGTTGAACCAGCTGGACCAGTGGACTGGCATCTTTATATTTGACCTCTTGAAAGAGTGAATTGACCATTGTCTCCCTCCTCCAGCCCAAGTAGTCTCCTTAGACAGTCACTGTACTCACAAAGGCACATTCATAAATACCACATTTAAGTTACTGCTTGTAAAAACAACAAAGAGGGGAAAATGTTAAGCGCTTATACCCCAATCCATCCCTACTGACCCAGCAAGAAGCATCACATAACGTATCACTTCGTGAGACACCGCTCTCTACCTTCAGAAGGTACATATTTCTTAAAGAAGTTTTCCAACACCCCATTTTTTGTCGTTGCATAAATGAACGCTTTTTTCCATTTTTGGCTTACATGTTTTGGAATACAGCACACCCCCAATATAAAGCTCTGTTGTAAGGCTACCCCCTAAAGTAAGGCTGCTCTATCTTGGCTCCCTTTTCATTCTTCTGCTCCTCCTGCACCGCCCACTAAAAATACAAAACATTCAGCACCTTATATAAGGAGGGTGAGACGATTCTGGAAGGGGTAGGGAAGGGGAAGAAAAGCACTTAATATCATAACCATGTCACTAAAATATCTATTTCCAGCAAGCTGTGCAACCTGCTCTTGCTGCTCAACATTAGTATTAAGAAGGAACCATGTTCATCTAAGGTTGTTTCATCTAAAACATGAGAGAAACTTCCATGTATTTGTCATGGTTAAAAACAGTTAAAAAATTGACATTTTGTTATTTGAATGCATTGATTTGTACTTTAATACCTAAGATGAGGCATTTAGTAATTAAAAAGAAACACTTCTTGCTAAACACTGCCTCTCTCGTTTGTCCATGCAAACTCTTCCCATCTCCCCTCTTCTCCCTCTGCCCACCAAATAGCCAAGAGACTGTGCCACAAAGAATACTCAGTGGCTGCCTGGAACAAAACTTTCTACCATTTTATCTGGAGTGCATTGTCTTGTTTTTATAGGAATGGTTGTCAGGGTCAAGTCAAAATTATTCCAACTCTCTGGCTAAGAAAAAAAAATTCCATCTGGTTTTAACACAGCTGGATGTCCCCATTACTGATTGCCACATGCACAGTGGGAAATGGCTCTTTGCTCTGGACACTTAGTTTGCAAGATGCTCTTTTCACAACCCAAGATTCTGGGAGGTTTTCAGAGAAACTTTCCTGCATACCTTTATAAAAAGCAACACATGCACAAACTCTGGCAGCCTATGAATGTTGCTTTGTTGCATGCCACTGATTAGGTTACATCTACGTTGGCCTGACAACACAGTTTAAAAAACAGGCTTAGAACCCTACAAGTCTGGAGACCATTAGAACATTTTCTGTGTCACAGATGGGATCAACCATTTTCCATAATGGGGCTAAAGCACATCCAAGGTTTTAGCAAACCACAGAGGGCTGAAGTCCAATCTACACCACAAACCAAACTGTTGTAACGAGGTCCACTGACTCAGTTTTAATAGCAGCATTGTGGACTTTATTGTGGACAAACAGGGTTGTAATATGGCCTGGCCAGTCAGTGTAAAAAGGACTAAACTGTATGGCCTTATCTACTTCAGGGAAATTTTGCCAAAATGTCTCCACTGTTGGTAATACAAAGTTAATTTGTGCTGGTGTTTGCAATGGTGGGATATTTTTGCAAAATATCTGTAGAGGAGACAAAACTTATCAGAACAGTGCTTAAAAGGTCAGTCCCTAGCTAGGGTACAGTTCTAACACTGTTTAGTCCTAGCCATAAGCTCCATTTAGCTACAAGGATTTAAGCTAATTTTGCAGAAAATTTTGCACAAGTTTCCCATCATCAACACTCGTTTAGCCACACAAGAAACCTCGGTGTTGGTGGACTTCTGGTATTGTAAGCATCATGTCATCTATAGTCTGTTCAGAGCAGGTATAATCAACATGATGCCTAAAATGCTAGAGGCAACAGATGGCCCCTCTATGTTGTACTCCCAATGTTACTAACATTACGTGTTGGATTTTTTTTCTTTTTTGAAAAATTAGTATAGAAAAGGCTGCAGGTTCTGCATATGTTGCTTCAGCTGTAAGAGAAAACTCAGCCTTAATAAAATCACACTCTCCTGACAGCATTTTTTAGTTTCTTATACATCATTTCAACTTTGTATTTTTGGAGTATTTTCTGCATTATTATTTTGCATATTTACAGTTAAGGAGACATCCATCCCTGCTATAATGGAATTTTTCCCAGGGCAGATAAAAAAATCTAACTTCCACCCCAGTCAATCAGGACTTCATATCCTGAGTGACTACCTGCCAAGCACTATAAGAGCATCTCAGAACACTGGAGAAGTCCTGGATTCTGAAGTCACACAGTTTATAGTGAATTTAATATATGCATGGACATGCAGGTGTTCCTGGTTGTATTGGTCGCACTAGAGCTCCACAGCTACAATCTTAAATCCTGATCCTGCAACCTCTTACTTACAAAAATAGCCCTTAATCCTGTGAGTAGCACTTACTCATTCAAGTCAGTGGCACTAACTTGTGAGAGTAAGGATTACTCCTATAAGGGTTTCCTGGATCTGACCCAGAGGGCCAAATTTGGATCTCAGATGCACATACCGGGCACCCATTAAAGTCAATGGGAGATCTACATGAAAGAGCAAAATCAGACCCAGGAAGAGGGAAAGGCAGCTGAGGGATGAAGGAGGAGAAGATTATTCTACATCAAGGCATGAACAGAGGAGATGTGGCAGCATTTGATGAGGAAGGAGAGCATACACTAAGGAGAACGTTTTTTTTTTTTTTTCAAAGTGTTACACCAGTCACCTTTGCCAGTTCAAATCCCTGCAATGAAAAACAATATTAAGTAGAAAGACCAAGATTTCTAATGTACTAATTTTTAAAAGTTTCAAGATGAATTTTTTTTAAAAAGAGATCAACTTAATACGAAGGCTGAACTGTTCTCTAATGTTGGAGACTACTGAAAACAACCTGTTTATACTTCAGAGTAAAATGTGTTTGGCTTAAGGTCCCTGTTCAGTACACAAATTCTTCTGTTTAACCTGAACATCAGAAAGCCAAAGTCTATGAAAAAGTTCACATCATTTGATTGTAGAGGTCCTCTACAAAAAGTGGAAAAAAGTGTCCAGAAAAGCACAGGCATACTGGAAAAGACAAAGTCTTCCCAAACGGCATCCAGTTCAAGAAATTAAATCTTCCTTTCACTAGAAGTGGTGTTAGATGTTAAAACTTCTTACTTTGCTTTTGTTTCTCATTTTGCATACTAGAAATCTTCACTGTAACTTTTATTAAAGTTACTACGGCAGGAGGGAGAAAGGAAGAAGGGCTCAAACCCATCTAATTCAGAGAATTAGCCTACAGACAATTCAGGCAACATTCAGGGGGGAGGGGGAAGCAGCTGGTACTGGAGCAGAATTTATAGAAAACAGAACGTAAAAAGGAAAAAAAACGCTAAAATGTAATTAGAAGAACTAAAATAGTGGAGGATTAAAACAAAGGAGACAGGAAATCAGGAAGAAAGGAATAATAATTGAGACATGTATGTGTTTAGATTATATGGCCATGAGGAGCAAGAATCAAGAACAGAACTGCTACAAGGTGCTTTCTTTGTTTCTTCATGAACATCTTGGGAAACTCCAGATGTGTTTGAGACTAACAGGAAGGACTTGACATTTGACCCCAACTGGCAGCGGAGGTTTATAATCTATTCCAAGATGTGCCCTTTCCACCTCTTCTTACAAACTTTTCCTAGTTTTCTTTTCATGGTGTTCATGTGAAACAACGTTAGCAGCAACTGGCACATTTTTCCTGACCAGGATAGTCAAAAATGCCTCCTCAAGAACAGTGTTCCAAAAGCCAGACCTACTCAGTACCAAATCCTGAAATCCTGCTTGCCTCTTTCATGCACTGACATCAAATAGACCTGCTTGCTTGAGACAGGCAAGCCATATTTGGCCTGTAGGAGAGTGCTGTCTGGCTAGCACGGCCCTCCAAAATTATTGTTCACAATGGTCAGGAAAACCATTATAGAACCAAGCTAGTGACACAGTGATTAGACAAGTATTACTTGCATGGTTTCAGCTATAAATTTGTACAGGAACAAAACCGACAACTAAATAGAGTGGGAAATGGGAGGCATTAAAGTACCTCAAGCAACTTATAAATTGATGACTCAAGATACAAGTGCCTAAGATAAAGCCTTCACAGAGTTCAGGGATTGGGGTGTTTTTGGAGAGGGGAAGGATGCTCTTATGAAACAACACAGCCAAAGATTCAGTGCTCTAACCTCTTAGTAGTCATCAGCCATGGCTGTTGCCAAAGGACTGTAGCAAAGGCCTTGGTTCTTTTTCACTAAGTCCTACCATTTTCTGTTCTTAGGACACTGCCAATTGGTAAAGCACAGCCTCTGGCAAAGCATTCAGATAAATATCTTCCCCTCAATTTAAAAAAAAAGAGCAAACAAACAAAAGAATCCCTCTCTACTGGCCAATCACACTACGATTTTCCAAATTAACTTGGTGTATTGTTTTTAACGCACTTACATGCACACACCTGCAGGAAGAATGCAACACACAAACAGAGCACAACTGAAGTGATAGGAGAGAAATTTGGCATTTGATTTTTCAAATCATAAAAAGCATTCTTACCTTTTCTGTTATGTAACTCACTGCATGGCATGCCTTTGCAACAGGCTCATTTTGTTTTAAGAGCAGGTGCATTCGTTTTCATGGAGTGACTGAACTCCATATGCCTCCTTTTGCAGAATGTGTGGGTATATATATATATATGTACAAAGGCACTAAAGTGGCTTGTGGTTCCAGCCTAAAAACTTCACGCAGATTAGGCCCCTCTCCTTTACTGATGAGAGACAGGAGTTATCCATCCCAACACTGAGATCAGCAAAGTTGTTCTCAGGGCTGGGAGTCCTGACAGCTGGCACGTGTGGGGTCAGCAGGAGAGCTTAAATATTCCCCTAAAAAAACCCTAAAACTAAAGTACATTTCTGGGTGAGAGACAAAGAAAAGCAAGCAGCAAATCTTCATAACGTGGATTATCATTGACTAAGGGGTAGTTGGAAACTTAAAAATAATCACTTTTGTTCTCTAATGTACATTTCACAGGAGACTTTCAAATTCTCTCCCCTCTTGATCATTTTCTGTATTAAAAAGGAGACAAGATACAACTGCTCCATTGCTAGGATATTCCATACGTATGGGTTAGGTTTACAGTTTTCTTTTTTTAAAAAAGGTGCTTGGAGGGATATTTCAGTCTAATTTTCATTGCAAAAGAACTAAGTGATATTTCCATTCATACATTTCTCTCCCCTGCCCATGCAACTGTACCCACATGAGACTAACAACGCTCTACAAAGAATAACCCTTCTTCTGCCACAACTTGGTTTTTAAGAATACACTGAATTTCTGTTGCTGTTATTGAATTTGTTGTAATAATTATTTTTTAGTCTTTAAAATGCTTGATCCCCAGTAATGACAGTAACATTTGGAGATGTTTCTGCTTTTTAATTTTTTTAAAGTAAGTTTTTGAAGATTCAGGAACTTGTAAAAGTTTATCAACAGGAAAGAAACAGCCATCTATCTAGGATAAGATAAGGTTAAATAAACCATCTGCAAAAACTGGCTTCCTATCCTAGAATTCCTGAGAAAGCTTGCAAATTTAAAGCAGGAAAATAAATGTAAAAACAAACAACACTGTTAAATGCTCCCAGAGTTAGTCTTCATCTAATATATATGCATGCATGCATGCGTGCACTTTTTGGTCTTTTGTGTGTGTAAGTTTTAATTTTTTTTCTCTTTAAGCTTACTATGGAAGAACATTTTAGCTTTTCATTTTTAAATATTTCAAATCCCTCATTATGTCTTGTAAACAAGAGGGGCTCTAGCACCCGGCTTTCACCGTAGTATCGCAATGAACTCAACTAACCCAAAGTGCAGGTAAAGGGACCTTAGGGCAGGTTGGGAGAGAGAAGTGAGGGGGTGGGAACACAGCAGTGAACCAGCATGGGCAAGTCACGTGACAGAATGGATACTGGCTTATTCAGGCCATCATAGATGCTTCATTGGAAAGTACTGCTGGCACAGGGCTTTTCTCTCTCCTGCATCTCTGTGCATGGCTGCTCTTCATATTGAGGCTACTAAAGACAACATAGCTCTGCCTGGGGGGAGGGAACAAACCTAACTGGTAGGAGTTGGAAGAAAAACATTTTGATTCAATGTGTATGGTGGGATGGAGGAGAGAGCACAGTAAAAAAAAACCGAACCAAAAACAAAAACAAAAAATAATATTCAAAAAAGGACCAGATAGTATGTTGCAGACTCCAGTTTACACACACACACACACACACAGAGCATATGAATCTATAGGTATATGTAGATGTAGCACTCCCCTCAGCCAGCCGTCAATGTCGCACTGGGTTTACACAGATATGGCAATTTTAAAAAGTCACAGAATTCCCCTACCTTTCTCTCTCTCTCTCTCTCACACACACACACACTTTAAGTTTGCTTTTTCCATTCCCCCCAATGCTTAAAGAGTTAAATACATTAGACACTATTGTATCCTTCAGTGAAAATGCTAAAGAAAAGCTATTCCCCTCCCCTCCCCACCTCGTACAGTTAATAAGGACAAGAGAGGTACATTCCCATTCAAGGTTGGAATGGGTAGGTATTTGCTGGTACAGAATGTCAGCACTTTATGCTAAACAGTGTAACACAGAGCTTGACACCACCACACTAGTGGTGGCACTTCTGAGAAAAGTACCGGCATCTCTCTTCCCTCTTCTCCCTGCCCCCACAAAATATCTCCCGCTTTGTGTAAAGGGATGACCCTTCAGGTCTGCTACAGCTCTTCTCACAAGCAGTATTGTAACTTTTGTTCCCAGGGCGCACGCTCGCACACACTGGCTATTACTGTGGATTACAGGTCACCCCATCGTGCCCAGAGTACTATTACACTGATGCTCAAAAAATCCCAAACAAATCTTTCGTTAAATACAGAAATTAAAAAGCAACGGTACAGAAAAAGTAAAAACAAAAAAAGGTGCAATACTTTAAAAGAAGTCTTTGCTAGTTATACGCAGGCCTAAGCAAAACCACGTACACAGGGGGGAAAACACAACACAGAGAAACAAAAGGAAACATTTGAAGTACACACTGGTTTAAGAACATTCGTAAGTAAACGTTTCTGTCAGTGATGGTCTGGTGCTGTAATACACCAAGGCCTGGCACAGGTAACACTCATCAGGAGGGATGCAGAAAGAAGTTAGCTGCATGTGCTTTCAGGAGATGAAGCAGGCAGGCCAGCAAACTGCCAACACAACTTAGTTTTGTCAGTTTTAATGTAAGCAGTAAATCAACTAAGTGAATAATGGTGGTTGGGCTGGAATTTCAGGGTTTTGATGGATACTTCATGAATGGACATGAATACATGTATACGGTTTGGGGGAGGGGTGAGAGACTAATTTTCTAAAGGTACTGAAGACTGCAAGGGACTAGATAAGAACATTGGTTTTAGCCACATATAAACGTGATGTCTTCTATCCTCTGTTTTACCCTCCACAGAAGAAAAAAGAATGGCTTGCATTATAAAACAAACATTCTAGGGTTTACTCATAAAAACCCCACATGCAGACATAAATAAATAAATACACTGCTACTCAAAAGACAACACTGGCTCCCCTTCTCACCAAATCCTTAGGACATGGCAGTGTTTTGCTCTACCACAGGGTCAGAACAAGGGCTACGAAGCAACAACCCACATTCAATATGATCTGCAAACTTGAATTAGCACCCTACTTAAAATTAATTAAAAAAAACAAAGACTTGACAAATTTTAATCCAGCCCAAGAAAATTTTGTTTCAGCCACTGGGACTCCGCAATACTTGTTTTCAGAATCAAGACACACAGATGGCCAGCCAGCCCATAGACCCATCAGCAATGCAGCATTCTGAGACAGCGAGAGAGAGAGGGAGAAAATGCACACTCACCAGAAACAAGCACACATGGGCAGTTACATGTGCCAGAACACACTGGTATTTATCAACCAGCCAATCACAAAGTGTTGGGGGTTTTTTGTGGGTGTTTTTTTTTTTTTTTCATTTTTTTTTGTTTTGTTTTTAAAGTGAGGCTCCGTCAAGTCTTCCCCTCCCCCCACCCCTGCAATTCTTTTGAACCCCACCCCACAACCCAACCCAACACGGTAGACCTAAGGACGGAAACACACCCAGTGCAAACAAAGTTAAAAAGCTATTTTTTCAGTATATATGTTTTTTAGCAACAACTTCCGTATAACATGAAAAAGTGAAAAACTAGAAACTAATTTTTTTAATTTTTTGTGTTTAAATTTAAATGGTATGTGTACTTGCTTCACATTGTCTTTCTAAGTTGGCGTTCATGATTCAAGTATTTCAAGAGTGATATGTTCTCTTTTTGGATTCATATTCCAAACGAAAAAACTGAAGTTATATAAGGGAGGCAACTATGTGCTCAGACAGTCTGTCAATGACCCACCTTTTTTTCTCTCTCCGTTTTCTTTTTTCCTTTTAAAAATGTATTTATTGCAAGTTGAAAAAAAACGAAAAGGTCAAGTTAGTGCTGCTGCTGTTCCAAAAAAGGTCACGAGGTCAGAGTTGAAAGTTCTAAGTTCAGATTGAATCCGACCCTCCTCCCAGAAGGTCTCCAGGTAGTAAGGGAGCAGGGCTGCCCATTCTGTGGGGATCCTCTACACTTGGGACCCCCCACAAGCTTGAAGAATAGTTTGGGGGCCCCCACAATGAAGCGCCAGAGAGATCACCCCCACTGCTGCTGCCACCACTGCTGCTCCACTGCCCAAGCCCTGCTGACCCACCAAAAAGATTCAAAGGAGGTCCAACTGCATCTGTCTGGTTCTGTCCTGTCTCCAGGGATTGCCAGCCTGCTGTGGGTGCACTTGGGGTTGCTGCAGGTGTCGGGGGCTGAGCTTGTGCCAGAAAGCGACTAACCTCCTCATCTGTGGCAAACTCAGCCAGGATGGTAGTGTTTCCCAACACACACCTGGGGAGGGGAGGGAGAAAAAAGGGTGAACAACGAGAAACAAAGTTCACATAAAAACCAGGGTACATGCACAGGGTTCAAAACCTTGGACATGACATGGCAAAGACTGCCCAAACCAGTAAGGAAATCAGTGGTAGAGCTAAGCAAGGGAGGTTGGGTACAGTCATCTCCACGTTACCAGTTTAATCAGACTCTGCAGAACCCAAACTTTCTGGTTTTAAAAAAAAATGACAGTAAGTTTACAGCTCTTATGGCTGTGTAGGAAACCCAGTCCACAGAGAGAGTATGGAACATTAACAGCATCCTAAACATGCACGTGCAAGAGACAATTCCCCCCCCCCGCCCCTCCCCCGCAGAATAAAGGTGCAGACACACACGAATAGGTTCAGTGTGCATTATCTTTCCAAAACACAAAAGCTTAAGGAAAGATTAGAAATCAAAGAACTTCAAATGAAAGAAAAGGAATTTCTTGGGTTCCCAACCTTTTCTTACACGTTACCATGGTCTGAAAGGTAACTGGGAGCAGGGAAGCAGTCGTTGCTCCCAAGACCACATGCACTTCCAAAGCAAGCCATAATCACACACCAATTTAAGAAAACTAATGTGAGCCTTTCTCTTCAAATCCCAAGAGGCCTGAGAACAGGAAACCAATTCTGCAAACTCCCAAAGACCCTATTTTAAGTGCCCCTCAGTTAACAGTCTATTTTGTCTTTTCCTAGCCCTATTTTCCTGCATTGCAGTGCCCCAAGGAGTAAAGATTACTCAGAAGAGAACAGAACTGAGGAACCACTGCAGATGGGTAAAAACCAGCAATGGGAAAAAAATGCAGAAACGGTAACATTTCTCTTTGACAGGTTTCAGAGGAACAGCCGTGTTAGTCTGTATTCGCAAAAAGAAAAGGAGTACTTGTGGCACCTTAGAGACTAACCAATTTATTTGAGCATGAGCTTTCGTGAGCTACAGTGATGAAGTGAGCTGTAGCTCACGAAAGCTCATGCTCAAATAAATTGGTTAGTCTCTAAGGTGCCACAAGTACTCCTTTTCATTTCTCTTTGAGACATTTTAATTAAAATGTTCTAGACGAAGAAAAAAATCAAAGATCTTTTAATTAAAAAATGTTTTCAAAAATCTTTGTAGAGAAAGTAAGAAAAGCTGTTTCACCCAAATAAAACACTCTTTTCCTCTACTTCAAAGATTCTCAAACTGTGGTCCATGTTGAACTTGCTGGGGGCTCAAGGGGAGCTGGCTGGTCATATAATGCTGCATATTCCCACTCCTGATTTCCAGCTACTAAATCTCATTAAAACACATTAAATACTTTCCTACAAGCAACTGCTGTTGCTGCCACAAGGGTTTTACACCATCATGACTAGGACTTAGTGATACATACAACCAAGAACAAGAGGTCCGTGAGAACCTCTACTAAAATGTGGTCCACGCTATAAAAGAGTTTGCGTATCCATGCTCTAGGAAACAAGCTTTCCTTCACAAAGCAATTTCCCTTTAAAAAAAAAGGGGGTGGGGTGGGGCAGGGGGAGGAAAGGAATTTAGCTTTGGTACTGTGGCAAGATGGGTTAGTATGTTGGGTCCTGCGCTTTTCTTGGCAGGGGGGCTAAGATGCCACTCCTTTCCCCTGCTCTTGTGCCGCTGAGGTCCCCACTAGTTGCCCGGGAAGGTGATAGAGGAGGGAGGGTTCTGGGTCTGCTCCGCACTCTGAGCCTCAGCCCCTCTCAACCCCTGCAGGTTCTTACCCTCTTCCCCCTTGAGTGGGGAACTTGTGGTCCTTAGACGGTGGGGGAGGGAGTCTCCCTCCCCTGCTGGGGCAGGGTCTCCCTTACTTCAGTTCTCTGGTCTTTCAGATCTTACAACACACCTCCAAGCTCCAGTCCTCTCTCCTTCCTCTTGACTGTCTGAAGCAGGGGGTTTTATTAGGTTCCTGACAGGGTTTAATTGACTACAGGTGCTCCAATTAACCTGTTGCAACCCTCCCTAGTCTACAGGGAACCACACCTTAATTAGCCTAGGGTTTATATATTTCCCCTCTACCACTGCTCCCTGGTCCTCCTGTATCACAGTACTCACATGGACTTTGTTTCAGATTGAAAATGCGATTGATCACTTTGCAAAAATCTTGCAGATTAATGCTCATCTGAAGCAATTTATTAATTTTCATAAACGCAGCCAAATTTGAATACTCATTTGCATACTGGTCCTATCAGTCAACCCCACCCATTGCAAAATCCTTGTTGTGCCACTGTCACTTTGCAGCAGCAGTTCCAACAATCTTGTTCAGAAACAAATTATCATTCCCCATCTTCTGCTGGTAAAGGAAGAGACTCCTACCTCCGAGGATCAATTTACTCCCTGAGAATTTCTAAAACATGGAAGTGGACAGACAAAAAAAAGGTTACTGACCTTTCGTAACTATTGTTCTTCAAGATGTGTTGCGCATGTCCATTCCATGCTAGGTGTGCACGCGCCATGTTGCTGGAGATTTTTTTTCCCTTAGTGGTATCTGTAGGACTGACCCTAGTGCCCCCTGGAGCCCTGTGCACATGCGTCGGTATAAGGGGTACCGCTGGCTCTACACCCTCTCAGTTCCTTTTTATCCATCACTCCAGCAGAGGGGTAGGAGAGCAGGTCATGCAATGGACATGAGCAACACATCTTGAAGAACAAGTTACAGAAGATTAATAACGTTCTTTTCTTCGAGTGCTTGCTCATGTCCATTCCATGCTAGGTGACTCACAAACAGTACCCCCGGAGGTGGGCTCAGAGTTCATGGACGTGCTGATTGCAACACTGCTCTCCCAAAACTGGTATCATCATGGGCTTGTTGAGTGATGGCGTAGTGGGATGCGAAGGTATGAACCGATGACTGTGTTGTGCTCTGCAGATGTCGAGCTCCTCCTCATTTGTTAATGTAAAACATTGAGGCCGTGTTGTCCGTCAAGCCTGCATGACCTGGTCTAAGAGCTGGGGAAGAAACACCTGGCAGGCCAAGCATATTGCCCTGAGTTCTTTGACATTTATATGTCGGGAGAGTTCTGCAGAGACCCTGGGTCCTGAGTCTACCGTGTGCTCCGCAACCCACAGCTGACATGTCCGAAACCAATGTTACTGTTGGATACGGGGCAGCGAAAGGCACTTCCTTCATCACAGAACGTGGGTTTCTCTACCAAGTCAGAGAAGCTAAGATGGCAACAGAATCATGAGAACCAAGTCCAAGTCGTGTCTGCCTGGGTACTAGACTAATGCCAGACACATCTGTAGGGATCTGAGGCATAGCTGCATGTACTGCACCACGTAGGTACATGCTGTCATGTGACCCAAAAGCTTGAGTCACACCAGGCAGCTGAAAGCAGGTGAGCTGTGACCCAGGCGATTAGATCTGACATAGTTCAGAACCTAGCCTCTGATGGGTAGGCCTTGGCCTGGACGGAGTCTAGCACTACCCAAGTAAACTCTATTCTCTGCACTGGAACCAATGTTGGGGAATTGGTGACTGATGCTGGGTCAGGGACTGCTGTGGCGGTGCCATGGAGGACTTTCCTCCGGGAAGTGCCGCGATGCTCACCTCAGTGCCGTGATGGAGCTCACTGCCCCTTGAACCGTTCTATCCCTGGTAGCCCTGCTTGGTAAGTGGCATTCGGGGGTGGGCAGTATCAGGAGACACACAAAATCCTTTGCAGCCTGGAAAGCCTCTGGAGTCGAAGGGGCCCGACTCTGGGAAGGACGAGTGGCCCAGCATAGGTCTCACTTAATCAGTTTGTCCCTCTTCAGCACCGGACAGCGCCTTCTCTTGGCGAGCTGTTTCTTATGGTTCTTCCTTGGCACCGGGGATGGAGAATGGTGCCTGGAAGAGTACAGTGCCGGTGGAGCACTTTGCATGGAGACCAAAGTGCTCGGCGCCAATTCGGAGTGGCACGGCTCCGAGGACAGTTTGAGGGCTGCCTCCATGAGCAAAGCCTTCAGATGAATGTCCCGGTCTTTCTGAGTGCACGGTCTGAAGCCCCTGCAGACCTTGCATTGCTCCTTAACATGAGCTTCCCCCAAGGCACTTTAGACAGCTCATATGCAGATGGCTCACTGGCATGGGCTTGCCACAGGAGGTACACGGCTTGAAGCCCAGGGACCTGGGCATGCCAGTCCTGGAATGACGTCCCACGACAACTGGGACCGCTATTTACACTATATACACTCATAGTGACTGATAACTAAATACGTTAACTACAAAAAACTATATACGATAGACTACAGAGTCTAAACCACTCGGAAAGCCTTGCAAGAGCAAGGAGGTCGTTCCAAGCAATTGTGACAGGTGGTAAGGAACTGAAAGGGTGTGGCGCCATCGCCCCTTATACTGGCGCACGTGCACGGGGTTGCAGGGGACACGAAGGCCAGTCCTATGAAAACCACTAAGGAAGAAAAAACCTTCAGCAACTTTATATGTGGCGCGCGCACCTAGCATGGAATGGACATGAGCAAGCATGCGAACAACAAGTTTTACTGAATCACCTCCTGCATGCAGGACTTTTATCAATAAATAAAATCAGCTGTATGTGTCAGAGGAAATGGGGTATATGTATGTTGCTGGGGTAACTTACATGTGCAGTGCAGTCTGGGCCTTGGCCGCCTCCTGTTTGGTGTTGTATCGGATTAGGGCGGTGCCCTGGGTCAGATTCAGATGGAATGTCAGCAGTGGGCCATGCTGCATGCAGATCGTCCTCAAGGTTGACCCATCGATCTGAGGAAGATAGAAAAAATAAAGGTTTACTGAAAGAAAGCGGCACTGAACTTTTTGTTTATGATGTGAATACATCTGAAGAACTTGAGGTATGTTTAATAAATAAAGTAATTAAAAATTTTAATTTTAAAAAATCAGTTAGTATTGTGCTGCATATCACAGGGAAAAGAGTGGGACCTTGAGAAGGTCAGTGAGAGGGATGGGATGTTATTTTCAAGTAGGTTCTTTTCAGTAGGTTTTTGTGCATTTTACAGTGACTTCATTTTGTAGTATAGTGATTAGATACTAAGCTTAGCTTGTTTTAATTTTAGCTCATTCTAGGCCCTGGTCTAATTTTCTCTCCCTTTAGCGTGCTGAGATTACTAAATTGTGATTATCTCTGTGTTTCCCAGATTTCCAGTGGAGTACAAACTGTATTTCTAACCCTATTAGGGCAAGAAATATTGCACCAAAAAAATCATGTTGTTTTGATTACCTGATTTACTTCTCCCCATCCCCAATTATTCAATTTCAGAAGGATTTTAAATCAGCCAGTAATTTGAAAATGCTAGAGATTACTGCTTTATACTGTCTAAAAAACTGGGAATCTCAGTTTTTGAATGGTGCAAAGGATCTGTTTTTAACTTGGGTGGTTTATGAGACAAACAACAATTAATACTGTTGCTATTCTGCCAGATTAACAGAGCTCAATCTCTCATCTTGGACATTTTCAGCAGCAGCTGCCTCTATTCTTTCTATATCAGCAAGCATCACTTTGCCATTTCCTCTTTCTGATCACAATCAGTTCCATTTATTTCCTTTTTCAGTAATTTAAACTTCTCCCAAATCTATTCCTCTGCCATTCAGTGACTGCTAGAACAGCATGAAGAGAAACACAGAAATGTGCCTTTTCGTTCCAACTAGACAAACCTTTTTCCTATGGCTGTTCTTGCCCTCTATATCAAGGGAAAGGTTCTGTTTAATGTGAGTGATGCAGTTTGGCATTTTGGATGACCTGAGACGATCCCAGCCCTCCTTCCCATCGTCTTAGTTCTTAAGATGTGCTGTGTGTGATAAATTATCCTACTGGATAGTGGGTGGTTGTCCATTTTCCAAAGTGCTGCTGATAATCATATAGGCATTTTGTAGGATCCAATGCAGGCTAACTGGAGTTACTGAAACCAGGATCTCTGTAGAATTTATTTTGAATGGAAACAAGCTCTGAGAATGACAACTGCTGGAGTGTCCTAACTAGGCTGTGCTATTGGCAACACTGGAGGAAACATTCTGAGGTTTTGCTATGGAAACCCCAGAGTAAAACCTGGCAGTTCTCCTTAGCTCCGTTACTGACAATGTCCCAAAGAAACTGGAGCCTTGAGCTATTATACACAACACAATTTATCCAGATTTCTGAATGAAACAAACTTGAGAGTAATTCCTTCACAAAATACTCTGGGTAATGGTGGAGACAGTTATAATGGTCTTATGGCAAATATCAAACATCCTACCAAAGCAACTGAGATCTCTACACATTTAGCTGATGTGATTACTGTAGTCAAGCAGGCTACTCTGACTATAGGTATTCCATCAGAATCACCAAGCCAATTCAGTGTTATTAAACTTCATTAAAATGGGAACAGAAAAGAAGCCCACAAATCCTGCTCTCTGTAGTTTAGCACTCCCGCCTCCAAAAGAGAAGTAAAAGAGAAATACCTGTGGAGTGAGATTGTGAAGAACCAGCCAGTAGCTAGGACGAACTGAGCCCCCATCACTCCAGGTAGAGGCTGAAAACATTTAAACAGAGGGAGAAATACAAAAGTCAGAAGATACTGAGGGTACATGTTGACAAACAAATGCCTCCTCTGCACTATCCTCAGGTCTTTCTGTGTCTCAGAGAATTTCATCCATTTCAAACATACTAACAGGATTCTATGCTTTATGGTACTGTACACAAAACAATTCTCATATTTAACATTAGAATTAATGTTTGCCAGTTTGGGTCTTCTAGGGGTTTCCCCAACCACATAATTCACTTCTCCAACACCACCCATTACTCTTCAAAAGCCCTATGCTGCAGAAATCCTCTCCTGGTAGCTCCCAGCCCTCTCCTTACTCCTCCCCAAGCAGCTCCCGGGACCTTTCCCTCACATTAACAGTTAGTTTCCATTTTAAAAAGGGATATTTTTTCCTTTACCGGGCAAACGCAACTTCCTCTCTTGTGAAGGCCGCATCATATCCACACCATTAGCGCTGTATAACACACACCCCTCACGGCCGAGCAATGATGCTATCAGGAGATCCTTCTCACCAGAGGCAAGCCTTGAGTCCTGTGCCCCCCACCCCCTGACCGATCGGGGTGCTGTGCTGCTCCAGGGAGATGATGGTTTGGGGTTGGTCAGGCCAGGTGGTGGGCGGGGCAGCCCTGTAGTGTTCCTTGAGGAAATATGGTTTTTCCACATCTTGTTGGAGAGATGAGTGGGATTGTGTCCTATGGGATCTGGGGACCATGTTGATTTGTAATCATTGAATTTTGCTGTAAATGGATAATAAAGGGCATGGATTAATGGGATTTAAGCCCCACAACACAGTCTATGTAACTATGCAGCTATTGTAGCAGGCTAAAACCACTTGTATCAGATGCAGGCATACAATGTTCAAATCCATGCAGCTGTTAGCATGTACCAAACTAAAACACAAGCAAAGCCAGACCTGGTTAATCCCTGCTTTCTATATATACTCTGACAGAGAAACTTGTTCATTCATATAGTGACCTCTTATACACATTAATATAATCTGAGATCTAATTGAGATCTGAGGATCTCAAAGCTCTTTACAATGGTGGGCAAGTATTATCCTTATTTAACAAATTGAAAATTGAGGCTCAGAAAAGAAGATGCTTGCAGAGTGGGAACTGAAACTCAGGTCTCATTGCTCCTTGTTCCTTCCTCTACATAGTAGGTTTATGTTGCTTCCTAAAGATGTGTTCATTTTTGTAAGATGACTTACATTTTATGAGATAAGAGTTTCATTATGAGGTGCAAAGCAAGAAACTGAGCTATTGTGTAATCTGGATTTAGGAGATCCCTGATGACAGGAATTCAGTTTATCTGAAATAGTTACATTCTTATTGTTAGGGCTCAGAAAGATTACTGGATATCTACTAAGTAAGGTTGATCCCAAACATGGCTTTCCTCTAGTGAAGTTCAAAGACCTCCAGCAGGAAGCCCAGTATGCTAATAAAATTGGAAACTTCATACTTGTAATTCTGGATACAGAGGAGGGCCCCTCTTCTCCCTTTCTTAAGGAAGAAGACAGTAATACATTCTTCAGTTTCTCTTGAAATTACTGGACACTCTGCTCACCCAGTACAAGTTTGCTAGGCAGAGCGCAGATTACTCCAGTAATTGGCATTTTCCTCATTCTGACTGGACACAGTAAACTAACAATAAAGCGTAAGATCCAAAAATCCTGAAGCAGCACTCGCTCTTCAAGGCAGGGATGTCTGGGAAAAATGCACTTGTCTAGTCAATCTGGCTCACATCTGGTATGTGCATTTAAGTCCTAACTATTGTCAAGTTAGTGTAGATCTGAAATGGAGAAAAACAAACTATCAGGGTTCCCAGTTCCCCAAGGTAGCACAATAAGTGCAAATCTGAGATTAAGAATGCAGATTTGTTAGCAAAAAGGTAATGATTTATAAATACAATGTATTTGGATCGCTACCTTCCATAGTGCTTGGAGTCCAAGGGTCTGTAAGTACCAATGGCTTGCATTAACTTTACACATATAAATCTGAAGTGTACAAAAAAAATCTAAATACCAACAGAGCTGGAAATTTTATTTAGGGATGTGTGAATTCTAACCTGCCTATTCTAGAGGACCCACTTCAAGGAGTCATTTTCCTGCACTAGGGAAATGCTCTGAAGCTGAGTAACATGTGGAACATGTTAATCCTATTAATTCCTACGTCTTTAAATCATTCCTATCTTTCCTATATGCTAGATATAGTTAAAAGGAGGTAAAGCTGGGTTTGGTATCCCTCTTCCCAGACTCAGATTAACCAGCAGATGACTTTGAAACAGAAACTTTACATGTCCTTGTAGAACAAAGCTACATATTCAGATACTGCTTCAATCAAAGCCATCCTATAGAGCCAAACCTATTCAATTATAAGAAATAGCTAAGGACAATGCCAGCTCAAGGGAAAACTTTGGGATTTATAAAAAATTGGATATCCAACTGGATTTCCTGGGTCGGATATTCAAATGGTTACTCAGTGGTGAGTATAGAGCCCATTGATGAATAGGAATGCTTGGTGTCCTTATAACCAAAAAAAGATGTAGGGCAAAAGACTAGGCTTTGGTCTACATGTTAAACTGCCAGAATCACTATAACTCCCCTCAAGTCCTGAAGGGGGATGAAAGGTGCAATCAACAGTGGAAATTAAAATGTTCTAACAGTGATTTTCCTCTTTAGAAAGTTGCAAAGTGTTTGCATATAGTCTTCCCCTCCTTTAACATCTCAGAGTGCTTAGCTTAGTAGCAGGTACATTTAAAAACAAACTAAATAAATGAAACCCTCACTGCTTAACCTAGTAGATTTTGTAAGAGAAACGCTTGTACATTTTGTGGATGTTCCCTATATCCTCTCTGCTTCGCCTTCTGCTCCATCCTCTGACTCATGTGCCAGACCTTTGTATTTTGGATCTTAAAAAGGAATTAATTAAAAATATAGCGTTGTTTTAAAGCAACTGTATTGGAACATTTTATCAGGACGAAAACTAGCATACCAGCCAATCAAATCTCTCAATTCCCCAGCTTTCAGGATATACTAACAGACTACACCCAAAGTAGAGAGACAAGGGGAGTGGGTATAGATAGAGAATACTGACTGGCTGGTGACTGTTTTTCAAGGTCTGGAACCCACTTACCTGAAGTGCTGTGAACATTGGTGAAGGAATTGTCAGAGGCACTGTAGGGCCAGGCACCAGGTGAAGGCAGCGAGGTGTTGAGGGAAGAATTAGACCCTATCAAAGGGGGAAGGAAGGAATGAAGAAAATATCGCAGATAAATATAACAGAGTTTCTGTAATACAAACACATCCTATTGGTTCCATTTCCACTAAATGTCACGGACTCACAACAGACATGTCAATGCAGCCTAGGCTTTTTCGTGTTCTCACCCTTTTTGGGGGGTGGGGGTGGGGAGGAGAATTAGATTTTGTTTTAATTACTTCTGTAAAAGGCTGAGATACTGGAATGAATGCAGGTGTCTGCTGTTTTACCTGTGGTGTTGTCCCGCAGAAGTTGGTGGTCAGTATCTACAATGGGAGATGTGGCTGTACCCCCCAGCACACTTCCAGGGGTCACATAGGGGTCAGATTCAGGGTCAATGTTTTGAATACCTTTCCATGGCACTCCTGGCTGGAACTCTGGGATGGGAAGGAATAAAAATAAGATGCAGAGACAGAAATGCCATTTAACATAAATTAACAATTTGAGAATGTTTTGAAAGGACTCATGACTACCTTTTATAGGCCTCCTCAATGGATCATCAGGAGAAGACTCTCCTATACAGAATATGCCTTGTACTAACTCCTCTCACTATACTGCTCTCTACAGTTCATGTCCATGGGAGTTTATCCCAAAACTGGCTCGAATACATGGGGTTCCCTCTGGACTATCTTCCACCTTTCTCATTTCAGACTGTGCTAGTCTTCAATGATTTCAGCCTTGCGGACTACACTATACGCTTTTCCAGGATTTTTTTTGCACAAAGGAGCCTTTCCCAAAGAAGTTCATGCCACATCATGGGTCACCAATGCAATGAGCTCCAGACAGAAAAATCCTGCCCTTCCTCATCCCACAGTCACCTGGAAAACCAAACATCCACACCTTTCACTGACAGATGTGCTTTCAATGGGATTTTTTTTAGCCTCCATGCAAGCATAACACAGAATGAAACAGCAATCAGTACAGAAGAGGGAATCTGATTGTGTACATTCTGAGCAGATTTAATCAACTACATTCAAATCACACCTGCATGCCCATCACAAACACACAGGTCACAGTTCATCTGTCAGAAGTCAAGGATTATTTAGACACACTATAGTTATTCTGTTCTTAATTCATATTAAATTTATACGGTCAGTTTAACACTTGAAGTCCTATTTAATAGTCAAAGACAACAGATTTAATTGACTGGGTAGAGAGGCCCAAGAAATAACTCTCGAGGTAGTTAAAAAAACAGCCTGAAGAGAAATGCTCATCAAGTTTACTGAAGAGTTAAGGTGACACCCTTCCCTGTGCAATACCTGGAGGCCAGCTCGCATTGCTGGATTTGCTTCCGATCTTGTTCGTTGGTGGAGATTTGGCAGGTAACCAACTATCGCCAGCAGGGCCTGCATGACCACCCAGTGGGTCGCCTGGGATTATGTCAAATTGGTTGTAGGGCGATCCTCCACGGGCTTTTCCAGGGGGCACTATTGCACCTGAGAAGTAGGAGAAAGATATATTTACATGGAGGAAAAATAGGAGTTTGGGAAGGGACAGGAAAACTGGAACCAAGAGAATTTAAAACCACCACAGAAGGAATAAGATATTAAGTTAAAGCACATCACACCAGTTTCACTGTAGTTTCAGAATTACTGATGTGTGGGGAGTAAATGTTACCTATCAGCAGTTGATAAATTTGATGGGTTTAAAAAAAAAAAAACAAAAACACTAGCAGAGGAAAATGTGTTCAAAAACCCAAACAGAGTTCAACTGGAATGAAGACTTCTCTATCAATATCTTTCACCTGGGGTGAAGAGTGGTGGTATAATAATGTTCCTATTTCAGGGAATATAACCTCAAATCTCTCTTACCATTTTTGTGCATATTGGCATCCTGTGAAGCTACGGAGGGCAGCCCTTCCATCATAGAAGTCCACTGTTTAAAGCGGGATTCTGATCCAGCTTCTTTCCCTCCCACTATGCCATAATCCATGCCACTTGAACCAAAGCCTGTGAAACAGAAAACAATACCATTTTCTCTCTTTTTGTTAGAATCACCTTCCAAATGGATACTTGTGATCATAAAGATAAATAAAATGCAATGGTAGCAACTGAAATCCCTTTGCACAGCTACACTTCAGGTGATATGAAAGCAATTCATCTGACTCCCAACCCCATATCTGTGCAGGACACATCATTGTGTGATTCTCACTACACTCTTACCAGCTGTCAAGCAGATTCTCCTTCCTTACCATGCGGTCAGCTCTGATATTCAGAAAAGCCATGTTCCACACGGATGCAAGTATATTCACTGTATCTTAGCACAAGTCTGTGGCTAGACTGAATTAAACTTGAAATACTCAAGAAGGCTGCAAGGGTAGCGAAACATGGTGATGAATGAACCAACAGACTAATTACCTTTAGGTGCTGCTGATAAACTAAAACAAAATCGTTCAGCTACATTTTTAGGATTAAAAAAAAAAAGCTATATTGTTTTCAAAAAGGCAGATGACCCATTGTACCACATAAATGGCCCAATATCTTTTGTCTGTCATTCTTTTCCTATCACAACTTCCTAAAGATATTACTATATTCCGTTGCTACAGCTTTCAGCAACCTGAGTCCAATTCACTTTTCCAATAGGTCCCAAGTTTTCCTGACTTTTTTTTTTTAAATCAAGTGATAAATGCTTTTGTATCTTCACAGCTTCAGTCCCTATTTTAACACAGAATGTGTGTGTGTAGGGAGATTGGAGGTGGTGGGAGAGGGATAACATCTATTTGCACTGAAGGGGAAGTCTATAAAATAAGTAATTGAGAGGCAGTGTGATCCAGTGCATAAGCTACTGTACTAAGAATCAATAAACTAAGGTTTTATACCCAACTCTACCACCAATCTGCTCGGTGACCCTTCATAAATCACTGCACTTCTCTGTGCCTCTGTTTCCTCTCCCGATCTTTGTCTGCCTTGTCTATTTAGGCTGTTAAGTTCTTTGGGGGCTGGTCCTATCTTTTACCTAATGCTGCTCTACCAGCCAGCCTTAAAATAAGCGTGATAAGTCAGGATGCCATCGAACTGCACTCTGTAGGGAAAAAAAGCCAAACCTAGAAGACCTGCAAGACATTGCAGTTTTAGCAATAGAGCTGACATTGTGCCACAAACCCTAAATCTAATGCCTATACAAAAATTACAGTGCCAGAGAATTAGTGCACTCCTGGTGGATCACAGGTCAAACTAATAGAGTAATACCACTGGCAACACAACAAATAACCCCAGCTCATAGCAGTACTCACCAGAACCATATCCGGGTATTTGCCCTTTGGTCTGTATATCTGAGAGACCCACATTCAGAGCATTGGGTACCATGCTGTCTAAATGTGACTTAGGCCCAACTGGATGAGATGGAGAATGCTTCATGCCAGGCTGCCTTTGCTGCTGCTGGAGGGCACTCACCATACGAGCAAGCTGCCAAGGAAACAAATGAGGGAATTTACTCTCAACTAAAACTGGCTGCTTGGGTAATCATGCAGTAGTGGTTAGTTCTGAGAGAGTGAGAGGAAGCTTAACTGACACCTAGTGATGAAAGGAGTATGGTATGGTCTTTGCTGTAGACTGACAAGTTTCCTCAAACACCCTGCACCCCACATGCCTTTGATGGAATGAACAGTGCCATACCTGTTGCTCTTGTTGCTGTCGCACAGCTTGAGAAATCTTTCTCTGGTTCTGTAACAGCTGTTGCTGCTGCTGCTGCTGCTGCTGCTGCTGCTGAAGAAGAAGCTGACATGCCTACAACACAAGTGGAGAAGAGAGAGATATGGGCTCATTTGGGGGAAAATTCTTGGTGGAACTGATCACTGGCAAATGCTTTATTAATAGCTTTCAGTAAGACAAACAGTTCATCGCTTTTCACAAGGAAATAAAATCACTGTGAAAGAATTAGAAAAACATGATCTGGCTTTCCTGTTACACCTAATGAAATTAGTAACAGTATTCCCAGTAGCTGCTTTATTCAAGTCATTAAAAATACAAGCCCGAATAACAAAATCACTGAAATATCAGCACACAATTGCTTCCCACCGCAAAGTTGTTGCTAAGATTAATTACCGACTGACTATAACAAAATATATAGATCCAACTTATAACTAAACAGATAAATTTAGATTGTGTTGACCCCTATCAACCGTGTGCTTTCCTGTACAAGAGCAGGGAGTGCTTGTACACAAATAATGCAAAAATCAGCAGAACAAGTCTTAGATTGTTTTCTCTTTAGGTTTGTTCCACTTCTATCTTAGCGGAGTTTGTACACAGGGACAGGATTGTAGGAAACCCAATCTATCACTGCAAGAGGGCCAGCTACTTACTAGTTGAAACTGAGGAATATTTGGAAGCTGACTCAGCATAGCAATCTGTTGAGGAGATATATTGAAAAGACCTGGGTTCAAGCCACCGTTGGGAAACTGCTTGAGCATGGAGGCAGAAACCTGTGCAGAAATCAATTCAAACAGCTAAGATTCAACATATACAAAATGGCTCAACAAAAAACACATTGTTATGATAAAGAAAGTTGGGGAGGAGGTATTTATGAAGAAGATCAAGTATGGCATATACTCAAGTTTGCATGGTATTTTAGGAAAGTCACTAGATTTTATTTTAACTGGCACCTTACACATCCATAAATGAAGAGGTTACTCACTTTGTGTAGTAACTGCAGTTCTTTGAGATGTGTGTCCCGATGGTTGCTATACTTCAGGTATGCATGTGCCTCTCGAGCCCTTGATCAGAGATTTTCAGTTAGCAGTGTCCTTTGGGCCTGCACATGTGCTCTATGCCTGCTCACGCTGGATACTGAGGCTACATCGGCGTTTGCAGGCAAATTGCCCTCAGTTCCTTCTTCACACAAGCATCTCCTAAAGAACAGTCCGAAGCAGAGGGGAAGGAGGACTTGTAGTAGAGCACCCATAGGGACAAACATCTTGAAGAACCACAGTTACTGCACAAAGTGAGTAGCCTCTTCTTTTAGTATGTATCCATGTAGCAGCCCTGCATATTTCAGATACTCATACATTCTTCAGTAATGCCACAGATGTTGTCTATGATCTGGTTGAATGTGTTATCTCCCTTTGGGGGGGGATGAACCCCCACAGCATCATAACAAGTGAAATTACATCAAGATATCCATCTCAGTAGTCTCTGAATAGAGATCTATGACCCCTTGGATCTATCTGTGAGGAAAATGAAGAGCCTAAGTAACTTCCTGGGTCCTACCTAACATCCAGCATATATAAATAGGATTCCAGGAGAGAACTATGGGGCTTTGGGAAAAACACTGGTAAATGAATGGATTAATTAACGTGGATGTAGAGAGACCTTGTCCTTAAAGAATGCTGTAAAGGGGGGGGGGGGGATTCTGTCATCAAGGCTCTAACCTTTCCAACCCTATGGGTTGACATGATGGTTACTAAAAAGGCTGTCTTCATAGATAAATGCAACAGAGAACAGGCTGCTATTGGTTTGAATGAAGGTCTCATAAGGTAACTGCGTGGCAGGTTGAGGTAGGGTTCCTAATATGTGAATAGATATTTCCCAAACCCTTAATAAACCTAGACAATACCGGATGAGCAAATATGGAGAATTGTTCTACCAGCGGATGAAAGCCTGATATTGTGGCCAAATGGATCTTAATTGAACTAACTGATAACCCCAATTTCTTTAGATCCAACAGGTAATCCAGGATGATTGAAAGTGTCACTGAATCAGGCAGGAGACAGCAATGACAATACCAATGGAAGAATTTCTTCCATTTCTGCAGGTAAGTAATATGGGTTGATCTTTTTCTGCTATTCAGTAACAGAGCACTGTTGTTGTACTTCCACAGAGCAGGAGGAATCTAACTCCATGAATCATTGAGGAGCCATGCCCTGAAGCGGAGAACCGCTAGGATGGGATGAAGCACAAAACACTCATCCTGTGACAGGAGATGAGGAATGGTCCGGAGCTCGAATGACATCTGGACACAGATGAAGCAAGTAATGGTACAAACTTGTCTTGGCCAGGTTGGCATTCTAAGGATAACTCTGGATCTGTCCTGTCACCTTGTTCATCATCATCACCCCCTGTATCAGCACCATTAGAGGAAATGCATAGTACAAAAAACCCTTTTCCAAGATAGACATCTCCCAAGGACTGGTGGCCCAGACCACCTCTTAAGCTAAAAAGAGGGCACTTCCTGTTCCTGGAGATGGCAGAGAGAGACACCTCTGGCAGTTGCTCTTTTCAGGAATATGCTGCGGAGCATCTGAGTGTCTAGCTCCCATTTGCAATCCTGTGAGAGGTGTCTACTGAGGACATTAGGTGTGGCGTTCTGAATACCTGGGAGGTAGTGCACTGAAATTTGGATCTTACAAGCTATGCACTAATTCCAGAGAGTTTCATGGCTTTAGAGCACAGGGAGGGGGAATTTGCTCCTCCCTGCTTGTTGATATAGACCATGCAGGATACATTTTCCATCATGACCCTGATTGATTTGTCTCTGATGAGGGGTAGGAAATGAAGGCACGCATTTCTGACAGCACAGGTTGATGTGGAGACTTGTTTCTTGGGTTGTCCATCTGCCCTTTGTCATGAGGGTACTAAGGTGGTTTCCCCATTCCAACAGTGATTGCATCTGTTGTTAAAGTCACTGATGGGATTAGCTGACAAAAAGGAATGCCTTCTCAGACACTGAGCTGATCCTTCCACCAGTCTAAGAGTACCTTGCTTTTAGAGCTGTCACCTGTCAGTCCAAATTGTTCTTACTGGAGAACAGGTCATTCTGAGTCAACCCTGGAGGCAGCAGAGATGTAGCCTTGTGTGATCGGTCACAATGGTGGAAGCTGCCATATGTTCCTGGAGCTGAAGACAGTTCCTTATTGTGGTTCGAGGGCTCCCCTGAACTGCCTGTACCAGACCTGACAAGGTTCAGGGAAGTTAGGCAGTCAGCAAGTCCAAATATGCCTCTATAAGCTGTATCTTCTGTACAGGGGTTAAATGTGGACATTTTTACATTCAGCTTCAGACCCAACTCCTGAAAGAGAGCGAGGGCCATTTAGGAGGAAGATAGCACTGTTTTGTAGGAATAGCAGTTATTGAGGTACAGGAAGACTAGGATCGCTTCTTGTCAGAGGTAAGCAGCCACTGCTGTCAGGACTTTTGAGAACACCGCTGGGGCCAAGGAAAGACTGAAGGGAAGAATCAGTATTGGAAATGACCATTGGCTATAGTGAAGTGTAGGTATTTCCTGTATGATAGATATAGTGTTCTATGGAAATAGGCATCTTGTAGGTTGAGGGGCTGAACGCCAATCCCCTTTCTCTATTGAAGGAACAACAGTTGCAAGAGTCACCATCCTGAACTTTTGAGACTTTATGAACTTGTTTAGAAGTCTTAGATCTAAGATCAGTCTCCACCCTCCATCCTTCTTTGACACACGGAAATCCTTCAGGTAAAATCCCCTGCCCTCATTAGGAGGAGGAAGAATCAGGTCTATTGCTCCTAATCGAAGGACAGAGTTCACTTCTTGTCTCAATGGAAGCTCTTGAGAAGGGTCCCTGAAGAGGGACGGGAAAGAGGGTTGGAAGAGAGAGAGTGATGTAAAATGGATGGTATAACCCAATGTCATGGCCTACCTGTCTGTACCGATCTGCCTCCAAGCATGTTGGCAATATGCAAGGAGGTCTCCAATACGGGGTGAGGGCGGGTTAATGGGCACAAGTGTAAATCCAGAAGTGAGGGAAGATTCAAACTCTTGACCAACCCATCAAAACGGTTGCCTTGAAGATGGCTGAGTGGTCATGAAGAGCAGATGAGCAGCCCTCTTTCTGTGAAATCTCTCTCTTTCTGGGAGGTATGGTGGAGTTATGGAACCTGGAATACTGAGTCAGATGTGCTCTCTGGGCAGTCTCTGACCTACTAAACCTTTTCTTATTCTAATATCTATATATGTTCAGAGATTAAAAGACCTCTTAGGGCTGTTTCACAGAGTGTGCAAGGACTCACCTATGGTTTCCGAGAACAGTTTACGACCATCGAAGGGGAGATCATCCACAGTGTTCTGTATTTCTCTTGGAAACACAGAGATGGAGCCATGATTTCCTGAACATGACAACCACCATGGAGATGGACCTGGCACCAGTGTGACTGCAGCATCTAAGACCAAGGATGGTGGTACAGGCATAACCGCCTCAATCCAGAGACGAGGATGACAATAGTGTATGAGGGATGGCCTCCTTATCCGCCCTAGCTTCCTGCTCCTCCAATGTCTCCTCCAGTGGGAGGGCTGCTTGGGGAGGAGAGGGCTGTACAACTCTGGCCTCCGAATGAGACACTACCAGTGGTCTGGCAAATTGCTATCAATAGGCAGCCCAGGAATCCCAATGTGGCTATTAAGGGGGCCCATTCAGAAGTGGAGGTAGCATGCAGGGTTGGTTCTACTACCCTTGAGAATGAACCTGATCTTCCAGAGAATGGGTTCCTGAAGAGAACCCCAAACAGAAACAGAGGAGACCAACTGGAAGTCTCTTTCACCCTCCTCCACCTCATCCAAAGGAGGAGCACCTGAAGAAAAAGGTGGACAGTCCTGCAGTACTGGAAGATTGTAGTCCAGAGATCAGTCTTGGTACCAAGAGATTTCAGTACCCATGAAGGGTGGGGTTCATCTGTTATTGAGAAGTCTTCAGTATATCTGAACTCCTGTGACACCAAAGTGAGGATTGGTATCAATGCGGTAGCCGAGGCCAAGGTCACCAAAGCAGACAGTACTGCTGACGGTGGGCATACTGAAGTAGAGGCCAATGTATCTGAGGACCACTGCTTGCTTGGTGCTGAGGGTGCTGCGTGCCTGGGTACCAATGGCTGGGCTGACCTCAACAGTACTAGTCGCAAATGTCTATGCTTGTCCTCCAAGCTGGTAGAAAGTACCTTGGCCCTATCAGAGCTGTGTCACTCCTTTGTGCTCCAGGACTTTATGGCTCCACCAGTTTTGGAGGAGGAGGTCTTCAGTTCAATTGTACTGAGTGGAGAGGTCAAGACTCTGCAGACTGTAAATCTTCCCTTTCTTAAGGGAAGCTTGCACCAAAGTGGAAGGGGCACTGGATCTGTCCAGAGGCTGATGTAATGGGGGAGCCTTCCTGACCTGACTCAGAAGCTGGCTAAAGGGAGTGTTCCATCATTAGCAGTCTGAGTTTAATCTCCCGTGCACTTCTGGGAAATGTGGGACTTCCCCAAGCAATGGACACATTAAAATAGAGTGGCCATCAGCAGGTTTCGACGTTGCCTCTCCTGGAGAGCCAGACATGCCCTGGCAGGAAAAAAAAAAAAAGAGTCTCCCAGAGGGAAGAGTAGAATAAAACAATCCTTTCATTATTTATTTAACTATAACTATACTAACACTACAAAAACTATCTTAACCACTACAGAAATATTAGAAAAGCCGAGGCAGACATGCTAGGGTTCTGTTTCAGGCCAAGGTGGTTGAGAAGGAACTGAGGGCGGTTTGCCTGTGCACCCCTATATAGCATGGTATCCAGTACTAGGAGTCATCGGGCACATGTGTGGGCTGAATAGACGCTGCGAACTGAAAATCTCCCACCAAGAGCTTGAGAGGCGCATGCACACCTGAAGTGGAGCCCCAATAGGGATGTTACTTGAAGAAGTAGTTAACTTCTGGCTTGAACAGAATACACAATTCAGGTAACTGACAATATTTAACATTACGCACACCCAATAGGAAGGTATGTTTTGAAAAGTGCATTGAACTGGAAACCTTTGCACATGTGTAACCAACCAGGAACCATGACACTGCATCATCACATTGAACTGCAACAACTGAGTAAGTCTGGGTTGGGGTTTTTTCTGGAGATGTAGAAAGGAAAAGGAGCTGAAGTTGGCATGAGAGCCAGTAACTTTGTTCCTGATGCCCAGAGTTCACTTCCCTATTCACGGGCGAGCTCCATCTCCTCCAAGCATTCAAAGTTTCCAAAAAGCCTTAACAGAGCCCAAAGCAAAGGGAGAACAAAGTAGATGTGCATGTTTGGTAAGCTTGAGCCCTGAGAAATCTGGGCTATAAGTAAACTGCCCAGTTTTCTTTCTCAAGTCCAGTCCTTTACTGAGCCACATACCCAGGAGGCTAGAAAGCAAGCATGGTTGGAGGAGAGAGAAACTTTTCATACTTAGGTAAAAAAATTTGGCTGATCTTGTATCTCACATTAACTGGTCAAGCTTAAGAAGGCCCTACACTTGACTCAATGGCATTTCTCAGTGTGGATGAAACGAGAATTTTGAATGCCACATCTGATCAATTCCAAAATTTCAAGGAATGTTCTAGGCATTAATGACCAGAACCTTATTGATTTTGGGGAAAACTGGAAAGCCAAAAGGGGCAAAATAAAAAAGGGAGTGGGGGGGAAGGGGAGGAGAGACAGAGAAACACAAAGCTCCTGCCAGTACTTTACCATAGACACAGTTTCAAGCACCTCTGCAACTCTTATACTTCAAGCTGATTGATGGCACTCATTAATCCCTCCTAACATTATATCCCATCTCATCTCTACACTAGACTAACAAGCTGATGCCTTCAATGACTTGTTTATCAGTTAGGAAGATGGTGAGTGGCATAGGAGGAATGGAGGCATGCACCCAGCCGACTTGGGGAGAGGGGAGATTGGAGGAACCTGGTATGGGGGAAGAGGGAAAGGGGGCACACATCTAGTGAGGGGAGACTGGGAGGCTTTAGTATAAGGGAAGGTCGGAATGGAGGCAGACATAGCTCCTGACAGGCACAGGAAGAGGGTAGTAAGGGTTGTACTGAGCCCCTGCCATGGGGAGAGAATGACAGAGACTGATATGGGGGAAGAGGGAAAGTGGGGCGCACACAGGGCCCCTGACATGAGGGGAAAGAGAGAATGTGGGCACACATGGAACACCTGGCAAGAGGAAGACTGAGGAACCCTGGTATGGTAGGAAAGAGAATGGGGGGGAGGAGGGGGCGCATATAGAACCCCTAAGGGGGAGACTGGGGAGAGTTGGAGGGAGTATGAGATATAGAGGGGTATGAGAAGGTGGCAAATAGGAAGCTTGTGGCGGAAGGGGGTGAGGAGGGATGCAAAGAGGCCTTGGTGCATGCAATAAGCTCAGCCTACACGAACTATGAAGTGTGCATCCCTCTAATAGAAATTTTTTTTAAAAAATCATCTTGTAAAGAATCAGTATGGAACTCAGGACTTATGAGCTTACACTGAAGATAAAAAAAAGGGGCAGTAAACATTCTCACACTGAGCTCCCATTGGAATGTAAGAAAGGATTCCAGTCTGCAAAGCACTGAAATCCCAAATCACAATGGAAAACTTCAAACAAAATCTAAGGGTTCCACTAGTAAAATATGTCTGGTTCACACCAAGTTGGCATGTGAAAAGACTTAAAACATGTACTGTAAATGCTGTAAGACTTGTACCTTGTAAGAAACCAAAAATGTTAAACTGCTTACCTGGGGGGAAAGAAACTGGGGAGGCACTTGTGCCCGGATATTGGGGGAAGCGTTTAATGGCTGCACTGGTGTGTGCATGCCCCTCGATTGTGCTGTGCTGTTTCCAAATAAACCATGATTGCCAGCCTATAAAATTAAAATAATGGTGAGTCAGTTAAAATTTCATCCCTTAGACTAATGGATTTCTGTGCTGTTAGCTGTTTGCTAAGAGTATTGCAAGAATATTTTACTACAGAGAATACCCTCATGCTTGATTATTTAGATGATGCCAGCCTCAATCCACTTTATTGTCCCTCCCCCCCGTGTAAGTCTCTTTATAAATTAAGTTTTTGAAATACAGCCTCTTCCTCCACATTTACATTGTACTTTTCATCCAAGGATCTCAATACACTTTACGCCAGTGGTCTCAAACCTTTTTATGCACAAGATCACTTTTTGAATTTAAGATCAATCCAGGATCTCCCCCGCCCCACTCACTCCATTCCCCCTCCCTCCATCGCTCGCTCTCTCCCACCCTCACTCACTTTCACTGGGCTAGGGCAGGGGGTTGGAGTGTGGGAGGGGGTGTCGGTTCTGGACTGGAGCCGAGAGGTTTGGGGTATGGGAGAGGGATCAGGGCTGAGCCTGGGGCAGGAGACTGTGGTGCAGGAGGAGGTGAGGGGTGTGGGCTCTGGGAGGGAGTTTGGGTGTTGGAGGGGGCTCCGGGCTGGGGCACAGTGTTGGGGTGTGGGAGGGGTACAAGCTCTGGGAGGGAGTTCGGGTGCGGGCTCAGGGGGTTGAGATGGGGGAAGAGGGTACGGGGTCTGGGAAGGAGTTTGTGTGCAGGCTCCGGCCAGGAGGTGCGTACTACAGGTGGCTCCCAGTAAGCGGCGAAGCGGGGCTAAGGCAGGCTCCCTACCTGTCCTGGCCTCACGCCAGTCCCAGAAGTGGCTGGCATGTCTCTGTGGCCCCTGCCTTAGCCCCACTGCGCCGCCAGACTTTTAGCAGCTGGAAATCACAATCGACTGGCAGAGGCTCCAGGATCGACTTGTCGATCGCGATCTACCGGTTGGTGACAACTGCTTTACACAGTTGGTTAAAAGTTGATTATCCCATTTTACAGATATGGAAAGTGAGGCTCAGAGAAAACAAATAGTATGTCCTAGAACATTCTCCTACTTAAAAGTTGCTAAGCAGTATTTTGTCACTAAGTCATCTTTACTATTGCATTATGAAAGGTCTGAGACAGAGTTGGTTGAAGATCCAGGAAACCGTTGTCACTAAAACAAGTATGTCTATTGCTTATATAACCTGCAGGCCTTCTGCTGTCCACCATTGCCTTAAAATAATTAAAGCTGGTCAAATTTTTCATCTGAAAAATTACTTTGACCAAAAAATGGCCTTCCTCCCCCCCCCACATTAAAATTTTCATGGAAAATTAGTGTTTGTGCTTTTGTTTTTAATGAAAAATAAATACATAAATAAATACATACATAAATACATAAATAAAATGGAGGTTACTTACCTGTAACTGGAGGTTCTTTGAGATGTGTGGTCCCTATCTGTATTTCACATGTGGGGGTATGCGTACACTCTGTGTCTGAGACTGGAGATTTGTAGCAAATAGTAACCATTGGTTCACAGATGTGCAGTTGCTCTCCTCATGCTCCGAACTGAGGGCATAAATGAGGCACAGACCAATGCCTCTCCAGTTCCTTCCCTTACCACAAATCATACAGGATCCAAAGCAGAGGGGAAGGAGGGTGGGTAGTGGAATACAGATAGGGACCATACAACTAGAACCACCACCAGTTACAGGTAAGTAACTTCCATTTCTTCTTTGAGTGCTGGTCCCTATCTGTATTCTATATGTGGGTGATTAGTAAGCAACAGTCAAATAAGAGGTGGGTGCAAGGATGCAGTTGGTATAGATGACTGTAAGACTGCTGTCCCCACACCTCCATCTGTTGAGGAAGCCTGAACCAGGGTGTAATACTTTGTAAAGGTGTGGATGGAGCTCCAGGCACCTGCCTTACAAATGTCCAGTACTGGTAAGAGATGCCATTGAGGTTGCCTGTGCTCCCACAGAGTGGGCCCTCACACCATCCTGGGGAGGAATGTGTGTTAGCTGATGACACAGAATGATGCTTCCAGAGATCTACTCAGTGAGTCTCTGGGCTGATGTCTGAGTCTCATGATCGCTCTGCTAAAGCAGCAAATAGTATCTGTGTTTTCCTCATTGGTTTTGTTCTTTGTAGATAAAAGGCCAAGGCCTGTCTGACATTGAGAGACTGCAGCCTCTCCTCCTCATTGGAAACATGAGGCTTAGGGAAGAACACTGGTAAGGGAATAGGTTGGGTCATATGAAACTCTGAAATTACCTTGGGGATGAATATCTGGTGGAGATAAAAGAAGGCCTTTTCTCTATGAAATATGATGTACAGCAGTTCTGTCACAAGTGTTCCCAGTGTGATAGCAACTAAGATTAGATAATTTTCATGGAGAGGTGTGACACGGAACAGGTGGCCACTGGTCTGAAACGTGGTCTAGTAAGAGATCATGGTACCACATTGAGGTCCCACTGTGGTGCGCGTTTCATTACTGGCAGGAAAATCTTAATAAGGACTTTCAAGAATCAAATTGTGGTAGGGTGAGTAAAGACAAAGCAGCCCTCCACCAGAGGATGAAAGGCATTGATTGCCGACTTTTAATGGGCTGGTAGATACAGGAGATAGTCTAAAATGACATGGATACCTACTGATTCTGTTGATACCTGATTCTGTTGTGAGCAGGTAGAGAAATGCCTCCATTTAGCTAGATAGCATTTTCTAGTGGAGGTTTTTCCATTGTGACTGAGTTTAGTTCAGATGGCCTCTGGACATGAATGTTCCAGGTCTGATGCCCATCCAAATGCCAGGCTGTGAGATGAAGAGGCTCTGGGCTAGGATGTCTGATCCTGCCCTGGTCCTAAGTTAACAGATCCAGAAAGGGTCAAATACAGATGGGAGAACAAGATGACATTGTAGTAGGTCTGGAAACCAAAACTGCCTATATCAATTGGGTGTGATATGGATAACGCTGGCCTGTCAACATGAATTTTGCAGAGAACATACGGTAGTTGCACACTGGGAGGAAAGGTGTACTTCAGATGGTCCACTGAGGACAACAGAAAGGCATCGTGCCCGAAGTCTCAGCCTAATGCTGCTCTGGAACAGTAGAGATTAAATTTCTTGTTTGTTTGGGAGGTCAACAGGCCACAAGATAACGTTGCTCAGTGGGTGAAGATTTTGGTCATGACACAATTGCATATTTCTCATTCATAGTCTATGGCAAAGTGCTTGCTCAGAATGCCTGTCAGAGTATTCTGCACACCTGGTGTGTATGTTGCTAAGAGTATGATGTGGTTCTTGATGCACCAATTCCATAATTCACTGTCTCTATTTACCCTGTTTATATAAGAGACAGTCGTCATGTGGTCACACATTATTTGGATGTGGCAAGATCATGTGAGGGAGAGGTATTTGTCGCAGGCTACGTGAACTGCTCTAATCTCCAGCAGCTTGATATGCATTCTGGCCTCCCACGTGCCTTTTACAGTGTGACTGTCCGTATATGCTCTCCATCCTATGAGGGATACATCAAGGGTGGGTGGAAGAAAGGGGACTCCTGCTCACACCTGCTCCAGTTTCGTCCACCACTGAGAGAGGATCTGACTTTCAGTGGGATTGTTACCCTGATATTCATGTCGTCCTTGTCTGGTGAGCAGACAGACTGAGGCCAGGCCTGCAGATAGCGAATGTGGAGTCTGGCAAATGGCGCTATGTACGTGCATGCAGCCATGTGGCTTAGAAGGGAAAGGCAGACCATGATTGTGGTGCAAGGTCTGAGGGTTACTTGGTTTATCAAGTTATTCGTAACCTGAAATTTGTCTATAGGATCGTTGGCTTTTTCTGAGGATATATCCAGGGATGCTCCTATGAAATCTATAGACCTTGTAGGAGTCAAAGTGCTTATTTACACAGACCTCCAGCAATGTCAGAAAGTGGAGTAAGAATAAGATTGTCGATTGGACCTTCTGGCTTGATCTGCCCATTAGCAGCCAGTCATGCAGATACAGGAAGATAGCGTAGCCATCATGTCTCATCTGGGCTGCCACCACATAGAAGATTTTTGTGAAGGCCTGAGTGCCGTCACCAGCCTGAATGGAAGTACTCTGAATTTGTGTTTCTCTTGCCCTAAAAATGAATTGAAGAAATCTTCTGTGGAACTGGTGAATATCTACCTAAAAGCAAGCATCTTTCATGTCAAGGATCATAAACCATCTCTTATCCTCCAGGGAGGGAATTATTTTTAATTGTGCATAAAGGCGTATAGTTGGTGTATATCAAGAATTAGTCCCCATCCTCCATTTTTCTTGGAAATTATGAAATATAGGAACTAGAATCCCCTCTTGATGTTGAAGTGGCATCTGCTCTATAACCCCTTTTTGGAGGAGTTCACCTCCTGATGAAGGATCTCCTCATAAGTGTGGTCCCTGAGAAGGGGGTTTGTGGTGAGCAGGTGATATCAACTCAACTGGGTAGTTGGAGTGAATGATCTCTAGTATCCACTTGTCTGTTATTGCCTTCCAGTTGTGTGTGAAGTAGGTAAGGCAGCCACCAGAGATTGGGGGGGGGGGGGGGGGGCAATGTGGCATGGCATCAATATCCGTACGCAGTCCTCGAGCATTAGATCACAAGAACCCCTTGGACTGTGGGCACAGCTGTCCTAGAGGTGGAGGAAGCGGTGCATCTGAGTCTTTGAACCCTCTGTTGTTTTGTATGGTGGTTCCTACGGGTGCTGGAGCTAAAATACTGGGGCGGGGCGGGGGGTGGGAGGAGACATTTGGGCCTATTGGTTTGCTTGTTGTGTTTCCCCTTCAGAGCTGGGGTGTAAATGCCCAGGAGTGGAGAGTTGTCCTAGAGTCCTTAAGAGAGTGTAGTGAATTGTCAGTATTCTCACCGATATTCTGGACCTCCCTGGGGAGCCCTGAAGCGTGCAGCCACGATTCATGGCTCATGACTACAGCTGTGGTAACGGTTTTAGATCAAATGTCAGCTGAGTCCACTGTTGCTTGAAGTGAAGTCTTAGCCATCAGCCTGCCTTCATCAATAAGGTCTTGGAATGGAGTCCTGTCTTCCTCAGGATATTGGTCTCTAAATTCCAGAATTTTGGAATAATTTAGGAAATCATACTCTCCTAACAATGCCTGGTAGTTAGCAACTTTGAATTGGAGACTGGCTGGTGAAAATACTTTCCTCCTCAAGAAGTCAATGCATTTAGCGCCCTTGTCAGTTAGAGTAGTCTTGAGGTGCGGTGACCTGGACCTCTCTATAGCTGCCTGTATCACTAAGGAGTTAGGCTGTGGATGGATAAATAAAAAATTCTGCCCACTTAGCCGACACAGAATATTGTTTTTCAAACCTCAAGGGTAGGGGCACAGGTGACAGGGATATGCCACACAGAACTGGAGGGTTCCAAAATGGCCTTGTTGACTAGGAGGGCCACCTTATTAGGGTCAGAAGGTTGAAGGATGTCTGATTGGACCATGCTGTGTGTCCTGGAGCTCCTCAAGAGGTATCTGTATCTTGGTTGCTACCCTCTGTAACAGCTCCTGATACTGCCTGTGGTCATCAGGCAGGGAAGGGATGATGCCTCATCAGGTGAGGAGGATGACACATCCATTGGGACCAGCATATCCAGCTTGACTTCTTCCTTCACAAACTCCAAAGGACCTGGTTGGTATCAGCTAGGAGAAAAGGGTCAGTGGGATTCTTGCACAAATCTAGGCTATTTGTTATATGGATCCCACGGGGCACAGTAAGGCCAGCAGAAAGCGTCAACTGGTTGAGGGAGTGGGAGCAAGACATAGGGTATCAACAGTCCCCTGGGTGGTCATACCCAAGATAGCTCCAAGGCCTCCTGTGGGCTCTGTCTGGGCATGTTTCCCTTGTGGAGGAGGGTAGAGGGAGCCTCATATGGAGCATCAGGCTCATATGGAGCATTCATTCTGAAAATGTAGGGTCCTGCTCTACTGGAAGCACCAGTGGGGAGAATAGTCCAACTTGTGGATGCAGCATGGGAGGTTCCTCTTCCCCCTCAAGGTGGGTTCTTCGGGTATAGAAATGTCTGTAAGGAGGACTCGGCCCAATAGAAGAGGAGTCTGTGAACAGGGTGGAATGAAAATATCCTCCAGTGACATTACGATGGCCATCCTTCTTGGAGTCTGAGGAGACCTTGACATGGGAACTGATGAATCTGCAGTGTCCAACAGTCTGCTTACTCAGAGGATCCCATATGGGACAACAGTTGCCAATCTTTTGGTCTGTGGGATGAAGGCAGAACTGGTACTGATGGATCATTCTTCCTATGTGCCTTTCCTTCTTTGACAGAAGGTCTGTGTGGACCTAATTCCTTAGGACCTGCATGCGAGGATTCAGCCGACTTTGACCAAGACTGGAAGGGATCCTTTTTCTTAAAGGTAAATCTGGACAGGGATCTGTCCTTATGCCTATGGCCACGTCCCTACTCTTGTGAGAGGGTTTATTGGGCTTAAGTGTTTTGGTGTCTACTCCAGACCTTGTATCCGGAAGAGCAATGCTCGAAATCTGAGACCACCGTATAGGGGGGTCCCCCTAGCTTGGATATGACTAGGGCTTCGTGGTCTACTCCATGAGGGATTTCACAGACGGAGCTCTCAACCATGACAAGTTCGAGGAAGGAAGAAGCACCAAAAGCTGCACTTGGTGGCAATGTGAGCCTCTCCAAGGCACTAAACGCAGCTCTGGTATTCATTGCCGATGGAAAAGGAATGGGGGAAGGAGATAAAGTTCTTTAAATCCTGGGACTATTGGCATAGTTCTTCTCTACAAGAAGAATAAACTAATTATAAAAACACAAAACGTTAAGTCTAAACTTACTATAAACTATTTACAATATGTATTTACAGGTGCTTAAGTACAGGACAATCATAGCCACAGACACAGAGAATTCCAACTCAGATGATCTGACAATAAGAATGAATGGAACTGCAGAGGCATTGGGCCACACCACCCTTTATGCCCTCAGTTTGGAGAATGAGGAAAACAACTGTGCACTGCAGACCAGCAGACAGCACTTGCTACAAATCGCTGGTCTCGGGGCCTGGAGTACATGTGCACCCATGTGTGGTATACACACAGAGACCAGCACTCGAAGAACAAAAATTCAATTTGTTTTTTTTTAAGAATATTTTTCAAAAATTTTCATGGAAAATACTTACCATTTTCTGACCATCTTTACTAATAATTAATAGTACATCACCAGATGTACTAAAAAGAATTCAAAATTATGTCTAATTCCAGATTTCTGGGGATTTACCCACATTCTCTGGGTGATGTCCTGAACACACACAAACACAAATCTCTCATGGTACATTAAAATACTAGTGTTCTCATTACTCCATTTTATAGCATGCCTGCAACCTATCCTGCCACAATAACCCATAAATTAGCTGCCTACAACTATTTTATCCAGGTACAGCAAGTATATATTATTTCTTCCCTGGACATGGCCTAATAGTTACTAACTAGGAATCAGTCTCCTATCCGTTTATTCTTGCTGAGTCTTTTTAGAAAAATAACTAACTCCTTTAAACATATTTCCACATATAAGTCACTGTATAAAAAAAGTCCAAGACAAATTTGGAGCAAACCACTCTTAAAATGAAAGACTAGGAGATCATCCTGTGTTGCAGGCAAGAAGAAGCCAACAAAAAACAAAATAAATATATACTGGACAATAGGAAGGAAGGTGGATTTTTGATGGGTTAGCATATCTGAAACCTACGTTAATATACGTTATACTGTGTAGTCAGTGATTAATAAATCTTGTAAGAAAACCAGCTGACCAGAATTAAGCCTACGTTGCAGCCACGCAGTAATAAATCTGAGAAGGTGGCCTCCTTACTTGTCTAGCAGCGAAGTTTTGGGGGTTGAGCCCTGAGCCGATTGCCCCAAGGCTGATGTTAGGTAGTGTGGAACCAGAGGGAGACAACTTGTAGCTGGGAGAAGGGGAGAAGGGAGAGCAAGGAGCCTCATCCCCAAGGCACCCATCTTGATTGGAGAAAGGCAAAGTCAGCTGAAGCAGTAGTTAGCCAATCAGCAGGAGTTGGTTAGTGAAGCAACAGAATGCAAAAGGAGAGAAAGAAGGACTGTGAGTGATCAGGAATAAGCAAAGGTAGATTGTAACAACAATTACAAGGGCAAACTTCTGATTCAATTTAACTGCTGGCATTTGGAGATTTTTGGTTAAGGAACCACGGTCAGCAATTTCTGTAGAGGTGAAGGTATTTTTAAAAAACCTCTTAGATGCATAGAAAAATTCTTCCTTTACTAATTTTGTCCTTCTCAGATAGGGATTATTTCCATTAAAGCAGCAGATACAGCTAGAATGAGTTCCTATTATTCACTTCTGTTTGCACACACCAATTTGTGTCCACAGTATGCACCTCTGCAAATGGTGTTTGTTAATTAGACCAGCAGAGGAAGTTCATAAAGCTGGTGTTTGGCCTGTTACCCCAAAATGGAGTAGTTTAAAAATATGCATTTTTAAAAAAAAATGTTTATTGGACAGAGAATGCCCACAACATTTTACCTGTTTCACATTTTATTGAATCAAACGAACTGCATTTAAAACAAACATTTTGAATCCAGAGACCCACTGCAAATCATAATTTAGATTTCAAATATTAATTGCTTTAAAAAGGTTGACAGTGCCCATTTAAAATAGGTAAAGATATGAAAGAGATGGTACTGCAACATACAACAGATGTAGGGAAACCAACAGTAAATGGACAAACACAGCACATGATACAGTCTAATCTAGAAAGAATGCTTCAGATAATTTGCAGACATGAAAGCAGAAAGAAAGTCTTGGAAAATTGTGATTTTGTCTATATATTTAGATTTAAACTTAGTTTTAGAGTGTAGAAGTACAGTCAGTAGCCAAACAGAAACAAGAACCATTATGATGCCCTCTTTACTGAACTTTGTTGGCACCTGTTCAAAATGGACTTCTCCCCCCGCAGCAAAAGAGTGGAGTAGTATTCAGAAATAATCTTTCTTCAGAACTGTACTTATTACTCTCAGGACTACTCTAATATATCCATGCGTATCTTCAACCCAGCTCAATTTTCTACCTACGTTCGCTCTACATATGTATGTCTATCTTATCTTATTTCATGTATTATTACATTCTCTTCCATTATTTTGGATGTTTATTACCCCCCAAAGGAGTATATAGAAATTGGGACTTTATGTGAATGCAGTGGTGGATTTTGTTTAACCATACAGATTTATCTCACCTTCTCGAAATAAGGCCCACTATCTGTGGTTCCCATGTCTTTGGAATTAGGTGGACGGAACCCAGATCGATCCTTTCTCATTATATCATTAAAATCCCCAAGGTTCATGGCTCGTTTGTCCACATCAAACTTCTTATCGGGGAGACCACCTATAAGACGGAAGGAAGAGGGTGAAATATCAGTGCCAACAACCACGCTCATACCTGTTCTTTCCAACAGATTCACAGCTAAAAATGGACTGAAAATACCTCTGAAGGCTGAAAAACAGTATGGACAAGAATTTATTTTATAACGTAGCATTACACTCCTGGTAAAAGATGCTGAAAAAAGTCAAGGATTATGTTTTATTGTAAGATTAAACAAGCCAATTTGCTTTAAAAACAATAAAGTATTTTGTACAAATTTTTTTGTACAAACATATGCAGTGGCAGTGAACAAGGCAAAGAGATCCTCCTCTACAAGTATAGCATCAGGGAAGTTTTCCAGTTCATAAAATCAACCAAGTTATAACCCTCAAATTGCCTCCTCTCCATCACAGATCTAGCCACAACCTGCTGTGACGAACTCTCCACTACTTTATGACAAAATGGAGTAAATCTGATACCTCTCTTCATCTTCAAGGATACACACACCACAGCAAAATGTAGCATAAACTTAGCCACTTTGTCACAATCGTGCTTAGTAGCAGAGAGCTTCCAAAACCATTATCTGGAAACTTAAGCAAGCTAGACGCATGCCCATCATGAACAGTCAAAATAATGGGAATCTATTGCTCGTAGCTGAAAAATTGTTAATACCTTCTTCAGAGAGGGCGCTCAACTAGCCATTCTGAAACATGCTATTGTCTAGCCTGTTCTCAAAAAGCCACACTCAGTGCCAGCTTCATTCACTGCTGTTCAGTCACTAACCACTGATTCATAGGCAAAGTTGCTGAGAAGGTAATAATGAACTGTCCCCAGTTACACACAGCCTCTGCTGGCAACCTAGATACATCACAATCTGATCTGAGATGGGTGCATAACTGGTTGGAAAACCATTCCCAGAGAGTAGTTATCAGTAGTTAACAGTAGAATGTGCCTTGATGAGATAGTGATTTTAACTTACTCCGTTCCATAAGAAATTCTAATGCAGTCTAACACTCATTTTGAGTCTCTGTTCTGAAACAGCCTGCCATCTGGATTAATTATCAAAAGCTACAAATAGTCTTGGTGATTTGCTGAATGATTTTCTTGTGTTGAGGCAATACAAGATAGTTCTTAAAACGTCGAAAATGTGGAGCTCAGCCTCTGCAAGGGATGAGTGAGATCTTGGAAAGAACACTTGTAAGTGAACAAACTGATTTAAGTAAAAGTCCAGGACCACTTTAGGCAGAAATTTAGGATGACAATGAAGGGTAACTATCTTTATGGAAGGCAGCATAAGGTGGTCCTGATATCAGTGCTTGGATTTCTCTGACTCTGTCAGCAGAGGTAACAGCCACCAAGAATGCCCTCTTAATAGACACGATACACAGAGCAGAAATGATACAGGTTCAAATAGAGACTCCATCGGAGATATGAAGACTATATTTAAGTCTCAGGGAAGGGAAAAAATCTTTAACAAGTGAAAAAATGTGCTTTAGTCCCTTAAAAATTCTGACGACTGTAGGTTTGGGGACAAAAAAAATCTTATGTTCCTGTACTGGAGGATGGTAGACAGATATTGCTGCTAGGTGAACTTTAACAGAACTATTAAAGAAATCTGAATGTTTCAATGATAACAGGTAATCTAGATGACAGGAATAGATGCCTCCACAGGGTGAAAGTTATGGTAAAAAAGTCTATATTGAAACACATTTCCACTTGGTCCCATAAGTAAGCCTTGTTGAACGTTTTCGACTTTGAATCAGAACATTCTGTACCTCAGAAGACTCTCAAGCAGTCTCTAGAGGGAGGGGTCAGAGTTCACCAAGCCACAGACTGTAGCACTGCTCTGCGAAATGCAGCGTCGTCTCTAGCCTGCCGTGTGATGGGGTAGTGCGATGTAAAGGTGCGACTAGACGACCACATTGCTGCCCTGCAGACGTCTTGAATAGGAACCCGTGCCAGGAACGCTGCAGATGAAGCTTGTGCTCTTATTGAGTGTGCTGTTAATGCTGGGGCCGATATCTTTGCTAGGTCATAGCACACCCTGATACAAGCCATGATCCATGAAGAGACTCTTTGGGACAACACCGGGAACCCCTTCATTAGCTCCGCAATCACAATGAAGAGCTGCGTCAATTTCTGAAATGGCTTTGTCTGCTCAATGTAAAAGGCGAACGCTCATCTGACATCAAGGGAATGGAGCATCTGTTCTCTGAGTTATTAGCATGCGGCTTAGGGAAGAACACTAGAAGAAAAATGTCCTGATTTGTGTGAAATTGAGAAACCACCTTTAGGAGGAAAGCTGGATATGGTGGCAGCTGCACCTTGTTTTTATAAAGCACAGTATAAGGGGGCTCAGGAGTCAGGGCCTTGAGCTCAGACACCCTCCTGGCTGATGTTATAGCCACAAGGGATGCCACCTTCCAAGAAACGTAAAGTAGAGAGCAGGTTGATAGGGGCTGGAAGGGAGGGCCCATCAGCCTCCAGAGCACCAGGTTGAGATCCCATGGTGAAATCGTCTGCCTCAGTTGAGGGTACAGTATCTAGCCCTTCAAGGAAGCGGCCAAGCATGGAGTTAGTGAATACTGACCATCCAGCTGAGCCGAGATGGAAAGCCGAAATAGTGGCCAGGTGCATCTTTATTGACTATAAACAAAGGCCCTGCTGTTTTAGGTGAAGCAAATAGTCCAGGATGAAACAAATTGATGACCGTAACAGAGGAATGCCCTTCTGCAGTGACCAAATCGGGAACCTCTTCCACTTAGCCAGGTAAGTGGCCCGATTGGATGGCTTTCTGCTGCCTAGGAGAACTTCCCTGAGTGTGAACATGCAAACTCAAATGGGTTTAGCCATGGAGTTTCCATGCCATGAGGTGGAGAGACTAGAGTGGGATGCTGGAGACGGCCATGGTCCTGCGCGATCAAGTCTGGGACCAGGGGCAGAGTTATAGGCATGTCCGTTGACAGGTCTAGAAGCATGGTGAACCAGTGCTGACATGGCAATGCTTGTGCTATCAAGATTATTGATGGTTCCTCTCGTCGGACCTTCAGCAGGACTTTGTGAATGAGCAGGAAGGACAGGAATGCATATGAAGGGAGGAGAAAGGCATCCATGAGTGAGCCCGGGCTGTGGCTCAGGAAGGAACAGAACTGCTGACACTTCCTGTTGCACTGTTTCATGAACAGGTCTACTGAGAGAAATCCCCACTTTTGGAAAATGTTCATTGTGACATCCGGGTGGAGGGACCACTCGTGGCCATGAAAGGACCTGCTGAGGTGATCGGCCAGTTCATTCTGCAGCCCGGAACGTATGATGCATCCAAGTGTATGGAGTGGGAGATGAAAGTCGTCTCAAAGCTTGAGGGCTTCCTGACACAAGGGAGAGGAGTGAGCACCACCCGTCTGTTTATATAAAACATTGCTGTGGTATTGTCTGTCAATACTGATACATATCTGCCCTGCTGATGGGTTTGAAACATCTGGCAAGCGAGGCAAATTGCACGCAGCTCCCTGATGTTGATGTGCAGCAAAAGTTCTGCCTGGGACCAAAGACCTTGGGTCCTGAGTCTTCCTAGGTGCGCCCCCCATTCCTTTGTCGATGCATCTGTGACTAGGGACAGTGATGGTTGAGGCCTGGAGAAGGGTATTCCCACACATACTGCTTGTGGGTCAAGCCGCCACCGGAGGGACTCAAAAACAGGAGTCCCAGCTCGGGCACTGCTGCGGCAGGGGAAAAAATGGAGACCCCCCCCATCCTACCCAGCCCCAGCTCGGGGGCTGCCGTGGCAGGGGAGAGAGGGCACATCCATCACATTAGAAAGGTAAGACTACTGATATTAAAGTATCAGTTGTGTGCTTTTATTTGTAGAAGAAAGCTAACTATTATTAAGGTTTTTTTATATAGCACTTTTATCCAAAGCGCTTTACAATAGTTAGCTAACAGTACAAACAACATTTGGAAAGATCATTAAGTAGTCCGCTGAGAACCTCAGTAATTTTCAAGTGGACTGTGAAAAAAAAAGTTTGAGAACCACTGGGCTAGATCAAAACCCTCCATGGCAATGAGCATAATACAGTACTGTGGTGTCTATTAGAATCCGAACAGGTTTGGATTTGATCAAAGGGAGAAAAATTTGTACGCCAGACAGATAGTTCTCCACTCTACTACATTAATGTGGAGGTCATTCACTGTAGAGTTGAAGAGGTTGGATATCAAGGTGAGTACCCCAGTTAACCATCTGGGACTTTTTCTGATGGGTATGTTCTTTCTTTGCCTTTCATAGTAAAGCATATCTTAAATGTCCTGACCCACATCTCCTCAGCTGTTCACAGTGTAAAAATGGGGGTGGATTCATGCACCACTTTTGGAGATCCAGGGACCTCAGTGCCAGTCATGCTGGGCACAGAACCACTTTGGTAAATGATTCTTCAGTTGATGGTGTGCAGTCCTCAGCATTGGAATCTGCTGACTTGGATGGACCCAGTGACCAGAACTACTTTGGCACATGGTTCTCTAGAGCCAAGAGGTGTTGGTTCTCTGGCACTGGACTTGGTTGAGCAGGAAGGATGCAAGGAGCTTGGTGCCATTTACGATAGGCATGGAGCCACTATGGTGAGCTGATCTCCAGTATCAATACTGGACATGTACAATGCCAGCCTTAGTCAATTGACCCTGAAGAGCTTCCTTTGTCAGCAGGCAGATGAGGCGGGCCACCTGCTTTTGTGGGTTCAGAGCATATTCATGCTATCAGAGCCTCTTCCTCCTCTTCCCCACCCCAAGAAAAGCTGACTAACATACTGACCATCTAACTGGAAACAAAAACAGACTCCAAAGTATCAACAAAAAACAAACAAACAAACTATGAAGGGAAGTGCTGAGGACACAGTGTGCGATACAAGCTTGCTGTAAGTGCGGTGGTTAGGAAGAACTGAACGGGCCACTCCCTCTTCTATACCTTTGTAACCTTTGAGAATAGAAACGAGAGGGATGTGAGTGGCTTTAATGGACACTAGTCACCAGAAGATACCAGGCATCTCAATCCCACAAGTGTGAATACGCAGAGGCCACTTGGAGAAGAACAATGCATTTAAGTAGATATTCAACGTGGAAATTAGGAAAGCATTTCTGGTGACAAAGTCAATCATCTAGTCTAGTGAAACAGTCTGCTTAACAAGGAAATTATGGCAAATTAGGACGCAATCAACTGAGATTAGATAAAATTGATACAGAAACCTAGACCAGATAATCCAAGAGACCACTTCCAACTATCATTTATGACAACACCCCTCACACAGTATGACCCATTTAAAGATCCCTGATGTTTGTGGTCAGGCCATCAAGGGTGATAAATCTATTCCTACTCAGCAGCAGCTCAAGTGCATTAAAGTACAATAAAGAGACTTTCTTTTCCTGCATATCAGTCCTAAGGGACTGGTAATTGGGATGTCCTAATACCAACAGCTAGTAGACTTCCCTTTTCCACCTAGCAAAGTCATGTGACAAGGGATGCTCCACCTTCTGGAAGCAACAAAACTGAGCACTACATCAATTTTTTTTTTTAAGCACCCCTCCATTCTATGCAGATATTCCCCAGCCCAGTGTGTCTCATCAGCAGCAGCTGCATTATCTGTATAAATCCTGCAGTCAACAAGCTGGATGCTGCTGCTCTATCCTGCTATTAAAGAGCAAAGCTCATAAATAATGAAATGTGCCCCTTCCTAAAGATAAGCATGTCACACGCATAATATCAGCCATCATGCCAAATGCATTTTAATGAAGTTATACGCACCTACAGACAAGTCCATCTTACTGCCTTGAGTGTCCTCAGTTTGACTCTGAAAGAAGAGCAAAAAAAGACACTGGTCTGACTCCTCAGCAAAGTTCGAGAACATGGCAGAAACAGCCTTCATTAAAGATGTGTATTGGAAATGTGGAAGGGTGTGCCAGTGTGAATGAAAGTAATGTCCTAAACTATATCAAAGAAAAACAATCCTGATGCAACCTTGAACACACCTAATCCCACCTGTATTTGGTGTTAAATTTCCTAAAATGCCACTAGACACATGAACTCATCATGCCACAGACAGAAAGAGATGTCCGAACAGCTGCTCTGAGAAATTAACCTCTGTCCTCATGTCAAGGGATCAAATTATGAGAGTAGCAGCCAGAATGACAGCTCTTCTCGTGACTTGTCAAGTCATCAAATCTTAAAATGTGCTGCCAAATTATTCTTCTGTTGGCAGTCTGGGACAGGATGTTCCCATAACTTTAAGAGGCAGCATGATCTAGTGGACTGAATTTGAGACTGGGTGCCAAGAGCTCCTAGATTCTAATCCCAGCTCTGCCAGCGACATTCTGCTTGTCACATGTCACAGCACCTTTGCACCACAATTTCCCCAATTCTATAATGAGAATAAATAGCTACTTCACAGGATACATTAGTTAATGGTGTACAGTGTTTTGAAAAATGCAAAGCTCTCCATTAAGTGGTGTGTCTGGGATTCTTGAACATTTTCATAGGTGAACCATATTTTCAACGAAAAGAAGGCATCACAGATCTCTGCACCTTCCCACTGACAATGATGTAGCATTTGTCTTACAGCTCCACCTAGAGGCCCCATTACTGGGGCTGTATCTATGCTAGGTGCTGTACTACACATAAAAATCCCTGTTCCAAAGAGCTTACACTCTAAATAGACAAGAAAAAGGGTGGGATAAAGAAAATATCCCCTTTTTACAGACAGGGAACTGAGGTACTGTGATATTGTCTTGCCCAAATTCACACAAGTCTGTGGCAGAGCCAGAAATTAAGCCCACATGTCCACAGTTCTAGTCCAGCAAATTAAGCACAAGACCATCCATTGTTTGCAAATGAATTGCAACCCCACAACTGTGGCAACCATGAAATCCACTTGGATTTTTGAAGTATTTTAGTTTCCAGAAAAATATTCTGACTAGTAAGTGGAGTTTGAAATAGCCACCAACTATCGGTATTGGAATAAAAGAATGGGAATGAAAATGCAATTAGTTAATAAACACTGGCTGGTGAATATCTGAATTTAGAATTTTGCTTACTACACAAATATCAGTGCTTCTCAATTGGATTATGACATTTTTAAAAAGCCACTTACTAGCAATCCCATGTTTGAAAACTGTTTGGATAAAGGGTTCATCCACGAATCACTATTTCCTCCTTTTAATGAACACTAAAAAACAAGAACAGATATGTAATTAAACAGATTCCTTATCTTTCCTCCATTTTCATACTTCCTTTTATGTAGAGGTCTCTGCTTTGCTTCCTTTCAGAAGCTTCCTCTCAATCAGCATTGTGCTGAATTCAATTGGCTTTCAATTTGGTCCTGTTGTGATTTGTGAATGATCAAAAACAAAACTGAAAGCAGAAATTGGCAACATAACACTTTAAAAAAAAAAAGCTGAAAAGTTTACAGATAATTGCTTTTGTGCTTAGGATAAAAAATGAAGTGTCTTTAAAAAAAGAAGCAAGAAATAGAGATTGAAATGAAAGGGAATCAATTTGTCCAAAGCAGGAACTGAGAAATCCATACAACACCACAATAAGACTGTTTTGTTTTGCACCTTATCTTAGCCCAGGAGCAGCCAAAGCCCAGCCCCTGGCTATAGGTAGTCTTCTTAATCTTAACACAGTACTCAACACTACAAAAGAACATCTCTCATGCTCTATCCTCTGCAGAGCAGTTAGATCAGTGTTGCAGCCAAGTGCAGAGTCATTTACTTCTGTTTGCTGCCACAAGTTAATAAGAACAAAGGCGCGAACCCAAAATCGAGCAGAAATAAGAGTGTGTTACTACCAGAAGTGAGAATGGAATCAGAACTTCAACAGGCTGTGTAAGGAGAGGCAGCAGCAGCCTAATGTAGCGTGATGTGTCACCCAAAGAGCGATAACCCTTGGACAGTTGTTGCTCAGTCTCATTCTGTAATGGCTCTGCAGCACCCATGCCACAATGTTTCTGGCAATCTCTGTTGGAGTTACAAGTCTTAATAGCCATATTTCATAAAAACAAGAGTGTGTCACATCACACACGACCGCAACTGCACTTCTACAGATGAATTCTCCACTACAATAGTTCTTGTTTATAAAAGGGAAGTGCATAACATATTAGTTATATCTGCTTTCAAGAGTATATGGCCATTACAGATCATTCAAGCATGAGGTTTCTTACCTTAATTTGTGGTTTCTTTCCTCCTTGTCCCCAGTTTGTTGAGTTGTGGGAGGAACTGCTTCCTTGAGAGCCTGCTGTGTTCCAGACTCCTCCTTCCTCCTCCTCTTCCCAGCTTGAATGACGTGTTCCTGTTACTGGCCCATCATTCTCCACCCAGCCATCTTGCATAGATTTCGAACCTTCAAGGAAAAAAAAATATATATATATACACACAGATATAACTATATATATTTCAAAAGTGAGCCAATACAACTCCTAACAAACAAATTTTATGACATTCTATGGCAAGATCAGTGGGATGTTTAGTACACAACTGCTGTTATTAATCTAAAAAAACCCCAAAACTTTCCTTCATTTTATTCTAATGCAGAAAACTGCACAAAGCACAACACCTAAAAGATTTATTAGTGCGGAGTAGTGTGCTATATTTTTCAAGTATTTTGTATTGTAAGAGCACTTTAGCTTCAAGCATATCAAATGCCTTTGACTTTAAATTTACAGGGGAAACGTCCCTTCTCTCAATAAAGAAACTGACCTCCTACAAGGAGCTCATAATTTCCAGTGTAGAGGAAAGGATTCCAGAGGCTCTCTTAAATTAACGTAATTGAGGAATTTAGTCCATCTGGTTAACCTATATCAAAATCCAGTTTTCAGTGCAAATATTTTTTTCCTTCAAAGTCCTTAACACTCTATTAGAAAAAAAACCCCAGTATTAAAACCTTCATCACATTTCTCTATCAAACTACTAGTATGTTGACCTTTAAGCATGGCTGACAATAGAACTCTGTTCTGGAAAACTCAGATTTAATTCTCAGACACTGGTCAGAAATCTGATATATTGAAAACTTTCCACACCGAAATACACCATGCATCTTCACGCTGTTTGTATTTTTACTAGGATCCGATATAAAAACTACTGGCATTCTCCTTATGAACTCTTAGAAATGCAGGATCAGTTTCTGTTCAGATTAAGAAGTGAGCAGAATAATCTGGGAGAGGTACCTTAAGTATTGCTCATGTTTCAACATATGCACACCAAAGTAACAAAACGCGAAAACAAGAGGTTAATGTCTTGGTTCACTCTAGCGACATGTTGGTGTTGCCATTTAAACAAAGGGTTGCATTGCTACTCAAATGCTACAACCATTTCATCTCACAAAACTAGAGAAGGCGTGTTCCTTCCCCAGCTAGGCTGCCTAACTACCTCCTACTCCCTCCTATGCCAGCTGGCCTACCCAACCGTGTAACTGCAGTTACTTCTGCCCAGCCAACATGTTTCTCAACCCCTACCTTGTCTGCTGACCAACACTTCCTTCCCACTACTACTCCACTCATCATGCTGCTCCTCCCTTGCCTTGTTACTCCACCTACCTACCTACCTATCTTCCCAAAATTGGTTTTCCATCATCTTTCTCCTGCTTAAGCCTTGAATTGTCTTGGAAGGGGAGGAGGGGAAATCAGGAATAAGGGGGTTTAATGCATATTGTGACTGAAAATTTGAATACACAAATCAGGAAACTCGAAAGGTAATGTTCCCATAGCAAGAATAACTGCTATACTGAAAATATGTACAATAATATTTTTTATTCCTATGTATAAAGTTAAACAAGTAACTTAACATACACAGTAAACTATTCAGGTGACATCACTGTTGTGGGAACTTTTCCTTTTAAATGTCTTGATCTGTGTATCTGAATTCACACTCTAAACGATGTCCTATAAAAGTACCCAGTCGATGAACCAGCCCAGGCACAAAATCGACTTCCCAACATCTTTAATCATGGTGCTGATTTTCAATGTGTGTTTGTGTGTGTGAGTGTGCATTAAATATATGTAGCTTGTTATACAAGCATGAAAAAAAGTGTGTGTAGAAACACATGCCTTACTTGCCCATCAAATAAGAGTTACTTGCTTTGAGAAGAATTTTGCAATGCAGTATTCACTTTTTTGTTTGTTTGCTTTTAACTCCCCCGCCCCACACATACTTTTTCCCCTTAAAAACACACTACCTGTGCTGGTAGAAAGGATTTCCACAAAACCCTATATATGTGCAATCATGTAACAGTCATTCTAATTTCAAAATTACCAAAATCATGTTTTTCAGAAGTTCAGCAGGACTTCATTCACTGGTGAATATATCTAAGTAAACAACTGAAAAGGCTAGTCATTTGGCTTGAGCACAAAAAAGCTTTGAATTATTTTAAAAGATGCAAAAACTTTTTCATGCTTATATAACAAAGTCTGTACCTATTCTGCTCTAGTTTTCAATAAATAAAAAATAAATAAATCAATCAATCTTTGGGCATGTGAAGACTGAGCCCCAACAATAATTCCCAGAAAATTACAAGCAAGTGAAAACAGGGAGTTAAAAAAGCAGCCTTCTCAGCCTTAAAATATAGCTTTTACTAGCCATAAAACTAGAACGAGAAAAAACTTGTTGCTGCAGCGTATAGACCTTCTGCCTGTATAACCATGATCTACAACAGAGAGTTTTTGGCTAAGGATAAACTGCAAGTTCGTAATTCTGATATTACAAGAGAAGGGGATTTATCTTGGATGCTAGTTCCCTACTATGAAGTATTTGGGTATGTGGCATGGGGAGGAGGTCCTTTTGAGAAAGAAAAAGCAACTAATTCACCTGGTTGAGATGCCCAAATGTTGTATCAATAATAAGATCAAAGCTGTTCATATACCTATACTGTAAACTAAGATTCTGTCTTGCTTTTGATAGTTTTTAGTCATTTGTAAGCACTTTTACTCAACCACCACCATCAGCACCTTAGAAACCATTTAGTGTCTCTTCTGGTCCTCACCGGGAGGGGATGCACTACATATGCAGGTGAACCACATACAGAAGTCGATACTAAAATCTATAGCATCATTATAAAAATGGCTGATTACTGGCCTATACTCACTAGGTTTCATGGTATTCGGGGCGTTGGAAGGTGCATTCCCCCAGCCTGTTGTCGATGCTCCTGTATCATCTATTTCACCCCACCCGGGACTGGTTTCATTTGGCTCACCCCAGGCAGACGTACCATTATCTGGAGCAGGTGGTGTGCTTTTGCTCCAGACTGCACAAAGAAGAGAGTTTTCATTATGGACAGTTTACGAACTGTTCACTGACATTCAGCACAGCATCACCAAAAAACCTACTGCTTCTGCTTTTCTGGTGTAGCTCATGCTATTAAAAAGCGTAAACTGGGATTACTCAGTTGCAAACACTACACCCAGGGCAGGGACCTGACTCTCAGTTCTAGGAATGAAAAGGAAGAGGACCTTCACTTTAGAAATGCTATGAAAAACAATATTACTATAGTATCAAGTTAGATATGAAGCCTATCCCTGATGCTAACGTACTCAGATAACTTTTCCCATTACCAGTTATTAGTACCAGGTTGTACGGAAGTTTAATATACTGAAGAACAGGGATAAATTTAAGTGCACATCAAAAAATAAATATCCTTTAAAGTGTGACATGGTCAGAAAAATTACTATGTAAAAATGGCACCTTATCATTCTACTCTCTGTATTCTAACTCTTAGCTGCTTACTTTAGAAGCAAAAAAAAAATTACTATTTTTTATTCTTGATGGCACAGGACAGCTATGGGAGAGTAAAACAGGTTATAATCTGGCTCACATATGATCTCGATTATTAACTAAATTCTAAATGCAGAGCACAATCATGTTTTAAGTTGAGTACGTGCAATTTCTCTGAAGACAATAGGGTTTTACAGATATAAGTGAGGGCAGAATTTGGCCTGCAAAATCTTTTACTGGTAATGATGCACAAATAAGAACACATCTTGCCTCTCAGAGCTTAGGTGGAGTTTGCAGGCTAGTAAGCTAAAGAAAACACCCTTTTACTTGTAAAACGGAGCAATGTTCAGATGGAAGTCATTAAAGTACAATAATGGTGACACTCAGTGGTTCCATTTTTACAGTCACTTTTCTGAACAAAACGGTTAAGTTATTAACACGCACAAGCCAAATACTCAAATGAGAGTTTAATTTTGCTAATGGGGTAAAACTAGCTATGGATTTGGAGGCTGCATACTCAACATTTGTTTAGATCAATGGTTTTCAAACTTCTGTATTGGTGACCCCTTTCACACAGCAAGCCTGAGTGTGCCCCCCCTTTATAAATTAAAAACCCATTTTTACATTTAACACTATTATAAATGATGGACGTGAAGCAGGGTTTGGGGATGGAGGCTGACATCTCACAACCCCCCCACATAATAATCTCATGACTCCAAGGGGTCACGACCCCCAGTTTGAGAACCCCTGGTTTAGACATTTAGTCTCTCATACTCTACTGAAGAGAAGGAAGCAAAACAGTACCTGATGCTGTTGATTTGCTAGTCATTGGAGTAGGCAGGCTTTGTTCTCGTGGAGCCTGTCCCCCTTGCGAGTTCTTGTCCCACAGGTTCACATTCTTGTAGTTATAACTGCTAGGGTCTCCCCATGCTGAAGTGCCATCATCAATATCCATTTTTCGACTGATCGACTGTGGAGACGGTTCTTCCCAGCCACTGGGTTCCTCATCCTTGGGGGCAGCTGGCTGTGGCCCACTGTTCCAGTTTGGATTTGGAGGTCGCCCATTACTTGGAGGTGGTGGTGGTGGAGGACCCCAGGAGCCAGAAGCCTCCTGCTGCTGCTGGTGCTGCTTATTCCAGGAATTGGACTGTCGACCAGTCTCATTCCATGCTGGCGTTCTTTTACAATCATCCCATCCACCCTTTGAAGCAGCATTTGCATTTGCACCATTACCCCAAGTCCCAATCTCATTTTGCCCACCTTCACCCCAACCCGACACTGGTTTGTTTCCTGCACCTTCCCAATTACTGTTTTTCGTTTGGTCAACTTCCTCTCCCCAACCGTTCTTTCCTGAAGACCATCCTTGATTAGGTTGCCGTCCACCCCACCCTTGATCCTTGTTGGAACTGTCATTCCAAGAGGAAGAGGTCTTTTCTTCTGATCTTACTCCTCCCCAGCTAGAAGAATTGTTGTTCTTATAGTCATTCCACCCTCCTGTGTTTTTGGGGTCCTTCCACTCTGTGGGGGTTGAGAGCTCACCCCATCCAGACTTGTTTTGATTGCTTTGGCTGGGTCCATCTCCCCAGCCCCCTGAGTTCTTTGTCTGTGTGGCAGAGCTCTCCCACCCCTCAGTTCCTTTATCAGATTTCCCCTCAGGCCTTGGCATCTCTTCAATATCCCAAACTGTATCTTGCTTAATTTGAGTTTGGCCCCAGCCAGTGTTTGAAAGCACACGGGGGTCCAAATCAGTCCTGCTCAGCAAAGTCTGCAAGACTGCCTGGCAATCAGGATGCGTAGGCCTGTATGATCGGCGTCCAGAATTGTGACTGTCACTACTTCCTGCTTTGTGGTTGCTTCCAGTGCTTTGACCTCCAACCTCACTTCCTGTAGAGCTGGAAGATCTTCCCCAACAGGGAGCCTGGGAATTGCCTTGGTTTTCAGGAAGGGGGTGGCCCTTTTGATTGTCCCATGCTCCAGTGCTAGAATTTGGTTGGTTTGGACCACTCCATTCTCCAATCTTCAGTTCATCAGACCCAGACGGCTGTTTCCATTCTCCCTGAGAGACCCCAGATGTCAATTTGTTCCCTTCACCCCATTTGTTTTCATTTGAGTGCTGAGGGCCAAAGTTCCAAGACCCACCACCCATAGACCTGTTGTTGTTATCCCAAGAATCATTTCTTGACCCATTAGGTTTTTGAACAGAAACTCCTTTCCAGGAGTCCTCTCTATCCTTTCCATTGTTCCCATGGTTTCCAGAATTGCTTTGTCCAGCGGCTGTGTCAGTTCCAGAAGGCCCCCTAGATGTACCCCAAGATCCAACACTCCCAGTCTTTCTTTCTCCAGTGCTTTGTGAAGGGGCATCAGTGCTTCTGGAGGGGTTCCCCAAGCCCATTTCAAAGGGCATTCCCTTATTCTCCATAGGGTTTGGCGAACTTAAGTTCAAGGAGTTAGTGTTTCCATTTTTTGGTCCATCAGTGTTATGTATTTGAGCCTGTTCTCTGCCAGAGACAACAAAGTTAACACCCGCGTTTTCCATCTTTGACTGCTGTTCCCTAGAGGTCTGACCTACTGTGCTAATCTGTGCATTGGCGTTACCATTATCAGACTCCAAAATCCCTTTCCTAGAATTGCCCTCTTGAACCAGTGCTGGCCAGGCAGATGGGTTGCTTTTTGGGTTAAAGTTGCTGAAGCCAGAACCAGGGCCTATTCTGTCCTGCCCACTCAAGTTCCTCCAATTTCCTAGTCCATTGTTACTCTCTGCAGCAGGGTTGGAAGATTGAACAGATTTAGCTTTGGGGTCAGACTTCCAGGCCCCAAGATTACATTCGCTCCCACCACTTCCCGACTGACACTGGCTTCCTTTTCCTTTGTTACTAGTGGTGCTTCCTGGCAGAGTGCTCTTCTCTGAGCCAGGGTTCGAGGCACTGTTGTTATCGGTGGTGTTTTCGGAAGAAGACTCAGCGTCTTTGCTGGCAATACAAGGCCACTCTTCCATGTCAGACCCGTCTACAATCACCTTGTCCCAGACGTGAGTTGGGTTGGCGTTGGTGCCGGTGCCGTTGTTGGAGGCGGCTCCAGAACCCCAAGTGGAATTTGCATAATTTGAAGCAGCAGCACCTCCAACTGTTGAATCTAAAAAGATGAAGGTCATTACTATTGGTTACTATTTATAAGTCCTTTAAAGATTGCATTTCCAGACAACACCAGTTATTGTTTTCATTTATAAGCCTTGTTTTTCGAAGATTTATAAACTCAGCTGATTATAGCAGATTACTACACTGGAAAATGGCACATGAGCTACTCTTATTAAAACATCCAGAAAAAAAAAAATCCTCGCACTCAATTAAATTTTGTAGGCACTTAAAACCTCACTGAGGACTGGTTCCTTTTGCTAACAGCCCTGTTATTCAAGTTCAAGCAGTAATTTTTTTAATACAAAGGCCACTGCTGATGCAAATTCAGATTCTTTTTTTAAGGCTAGCTCTAAAATTATGGTGTACTGGACAAAATTCAGCACTGACATAAAATAATGGTGCAAATAGGAGTGCGTGTTGTAAAGTAATGCATCTTATACTGGTTTTGCATTCGGTGGCTTTGCCAACCAAGTGTAACTTACAAAAGGAAGGGAAGAAAGGAAAGCGTTCCAAAAAAAGCACCTAACAGGAGGATATAGTATTTAACAAGCCCTCCCTTCATTCCCTCACTTTATCAAACAATCTAAGTTGATTTTCTTGCTGCATACTCCTTTCTTCCCCTCACTGTGCATATTACACTAATTTTGCAATGACACTGAATGCCAAATCAGTGTAAAGTTATATACTTCATTGACACACACACTTGCATTGAATATAGTCCAGAGACATCCATGGGATTTGCATGGGTTTACATCAGCTATAAATCCGATCTACTATAACATTAGACAGTCAATTCTGGCTTCATGATTATCTTATGTACACAAATGTGTTGCTGCTAGTACCATAGTGGTCTGACAGCACTCCTCTGCCTTCCTCGTTGCACTGCCCTATTGACATTATCAGATTAATCTTTAAGGAGATCAACCTTTGGTCCCTGATTTAATTCCATGTTCTCTCTGTTTGGAGCTGCTTGCCATTTTTCTGTCCAATTCTAACCACAGAGCCTTCAAGATGCTCTGCTAAAAATGTTCCCAAGATGACTGTCTTCTCCATCTCCCTATATTCATTTATTCTGTAGTGAGCCCTGGTACCACTGTGATATTTGGTAATCTTACTTCTCCAGTAGAGCTAATACGGTAGGGCAAGAAGTTCACAACAATACTTGTATCTTGGGCAACAGGTCTGCACATATACTAACTACCACCCCATCAGCACTGGCTAGTGTCATGTGAAGTTAAGTCACACCCATCTAAAAACATCATACTTCTAATATACACACACAAACACACAGGGCCTTTGTTTTAACTGTATATTCAAAAGTGACAAAATGGGAACGTTCAATTACTAATGTTTTTATTAAAAACAAACAGAACTGTTAGTACAAGTTCCATGCTTTTTCAGTTCACTAGCTGAACGGATAGTCAATCTCTCAGCTGACCTCAGTGAAGAAGAGTTGCTCATCTGTAAATGAAGCTCTTTGACTGTCAGTACAAGAACCACACTCGACACCAAGCATGGAACCCTCTGGTTAAGCTGGACCATTGGGGGGCAGAGTAGACTTCATCTTCAGCTGTGAAATGTTCTAGGCAAGGGTATATAAGGAGATGTGGCTCCAGTGCACCTTCATTTTCTCTCTCTTTTCTTAGACTCCAACCACAGACTCTGCCATAGGAGGAGTGTGGAACTGCACTGACAATCTCATACAAGAATTCCAGTGGCAGATGACCAACTGTTCTTTCTTCTTCAGGCAATATCAGCAGAAATCCTCATGCTTGGAAGACTGGTCAGTGAGAACTCTTGGGGGTGGGGCATTTGAGGAGTAGACTAGTTAAAGACTGCAGGGCTGCTCTCCCAAACTGCACCTCAGACCTTGAGACCAACTCAGAGAAAAATGCTGCATGCAAAGGTATGGTTTCTGCTCCCAGGAACAGCTCTACATAATTTTACAACAGGAATAATTTGCCTTGGATCTACTTGAATGTGTTCAAACAACATCCAGGGCTGGAGTGCCTGCTAATCCACAGAATGTGTTTTGCTGCATTTTGACAAATGTTGAAAGGAAACTGCCTCCCCCCATACCTGCCAATCCCCACAAATAGTCTTGGGGATTTACAGAAGGGGTTTGTCCTAAGACTATAGCTGAAGGCCTGCTTCTAATCTGACCTTCCCTGGTAACAAACATGTGGAGAAGATAAGCAAGTTTCTTATCTGATTGAGATGAAAACCAATTACTAATTTATAGATGAATCTGAAACGAAGATGTAAAGCTGTATTGCTTTTATCCTTACATAATAGCGCATAAAGAGAGTCAGTAATTAGTGCTTGGAGCTCAAGAACTCTCCTGACTGATGTTGTTGCCTCAAGACACAGTCTTCAAGGAGCGACAACAGAATACTCTCTCAGAGGCTTAAATCAAGAAAGCATCAGCTTGGGTAGTACTCGACTGTATTCCCAAAAAAGGTGGGACAGCATTAAAACATCCCTTCAAAAGCACCTTGTTTGTAAAAGCACAGGAGGTCCCTTGTACTGGAACATGAAAGGCTGAGATGCATACTCTAAAGCTCTGCCTATACTAGTAATTTTATTTACCAAAAACTTCCACTGTTGCTGCCATTGTTTTAGCTACCCTGGTGTGACATTGGAGCCTCAGTATATGGACTGCTTACTGACTCCAGTAGCTGTTTTCTGCACTGTGTTAACTGAATTTTGCTCAGTGCAAATCTAGTCAACTGATTAGATTAGATTAGATTGTGGTACTAAAAACAGCTGCCAGAGCTAGAGAATAGTCTACACTGAGGTTCCCACCTTTGCTAACACCAGAGCAGATGACTTGGTGTTAATAATGGTGGTTATTTTTTGTAAACAAAATACACAGAGTCCTGATTTCTTGAGACATTGAGGGTCAAAAACGTCTAACAGGTATTGCTACAGATGTATTTCTTTATGCTGTCCATTTATAGTCTCTGCCATGCAGCAGCATAGGATTTGCTGTTGAAGGTTTCGGACTTTTCAATAGCATCTCCAGCAATTTCTGTAAGACAACTTGATCTAGGATATCAGATGTATGATCCACCTTACTAGCTGCAGGGACACTGGTGAAATATTTAATGTCGGTGATAAGTGAAGATTCAGAAAAGAAACAAGAGGCAAAAAGGTGGCTTCACTGCTACATTTAGGAGCTCCATGTGACAAAAATCTCTGGCCAAGTTCAGGGTTATCAGCAAAAAAAATTCAAGGTGTGTGATTTTCTTACTTATCCTGGGGATCACTGATAGTGTACAAATAATGTTTGCTTGCAGGACAATGTTGTTAAATAAGAAGGTATCTGTCAACAAAAGACCATTGCCTTCCTCTGGAGGAAAAATGTAGAATTTGAGTGAAACAGATCTATCGGCAGAAGAGGACTTGACCATGAAATCTTTCAACACCCATTCTTGTTGAAGGTTGCTGTTTCTGCTTATTTCATCCACAAATGTGTTATCCTTGCACAGAAGATGGATTGCCACACATGTGATCGAGTTGGTGGATGCACCCATTTTCAAAGGTGAACCATTTCTCAGCACTGAAAATTTCACCAAACCCTTCCCTGGCAATCTGCTGAGCATAACATAGGTGTTCACCTTCACCATCACCACATTACCTTCCTTTGAATATAGGGGAGAAATTTTGAATGAAGGCTGAATTACTCTTAGCAATCAGTGCACGTGTGTGTAACTTGGTCTCAAAAAGTTTCAGATATTCAACTGGCTCAGATTTGGGTCTCTCCCTGCCTTGGAAATATCTCTCAGTAAGACCTTCGGTGATTTGAAAGAGATACCTCTTGCAAATACTGTGCAAGTTAGTTCACCATACAAAAGGAGACAGACATCCTGAGGCATAATTAACAGTGTTAAAACTGCAAATGGACTTATGAGGATAGATGAAACCATCAGCCCCAAGTAGCTTCAGGAAAACAAATACTGGGTTTTGAGGCTGAGATTATATTGACTGTACAACATCCAAAGACAGCCCACAGTACTTCAAATAGTCAGTTCTTCTCATAGTGATAGCTGTATAGCCAATGAATAGGAATCTATGCCTGAAGCATCACAGGCAACTTCTAGAGAATGCTTTGCCACTATAAGCCCCCTCTATGACTACTTCTTTAATCTCCTTCTTCAGATCCTCAGGAAGATGTTCCAACAATTGAACAAGCATATATCACATTATAAAGTCATACTAGACCAAAAAGCTTTGTAGTTTGCCAGCATGATCTGTTAGGTCACCTCTGATTGAGATTATCCATCTTCCTGACACCTTTAAGTTTATGATATTTTCTTGGCCCTACTTTTTCTTTTTACAGAAGCCATCAAAAATAATGAGATTGGGTACTGGAAAAAAAGAATCAAACCCTTAAACAGAGACCTGGTATAACTAGTCTGCCTGAGAAGATGATGTTGGAATAGAAACTTGTATTATCCTCCTCATCATCATCCTCAAGAGAATCCATAAGGCCTCCTTCTTTTATAGATATGACCACCACTCTGCCAGGTTAGGTTGGTTCTGGGATACCAAATAACTTCTGACCCATTTCTTGAACTATGGAGACCTCAGCCTATAATACTTCCACAATCCTGGTGAACAGATCTGGATGGATTTAAAAGAGTGGTACACTTTGGAGAAGAGATGATGCTGTCTTTTCTTCTTCCCTTGACCTCCCAATATTGAGGAAGGTGCCCTTGTTGCTTCAGCTGAAGCTGGAATTTGCTTCTTGGATTCACCCAGCTTCCTCAGAAGGGAGATCTCTCAATGGAGTTTGATTTGTCCCAAGAACATGACCTTAAAAAAGGAACTACTTAAGTCAGCTTGACTCTTCATATAGCCTGGAAGCTTATAAAAGAGCTTCTTTCATCATCAACTGTAGTCAAAACACTTGGTCCTAAGTCCAAAAAAATGAAGTCAGAGAGAGTAGGGGCATATATCCCTCACTTAGCATTTAATATACTGGGCACAGCAATCTGTCATAGTCCTCTTGTCCCAAAGAAGGGCAAGTCCTAAAAACCAACCTTTTATTCTGGAATCTAATATCACAACAGAAAAACAAATGAAGATATCACCATTAGGAAGACCAGTTCCTACAAATTACTTAAACCCTACAAATAAAGTTTATGTTACAGAAAACAACTAAAAAGCTTCCTAACACGCAATTTGTAAGAAACTAAGTCCTACCTTGGGAGGGACAATCAAGAAGAATGGTCAACAGACAAAGTCAGGGACCAGAAGGAGTTCTAACTTACTACGTCAGCAAGACTAGAAATGGACCACACCTGCTATGCTTCACTGCAGCTAATATCTACAGAACTGACAGATTTGGTCTTTAGTTTTATGCTGACTAGAACTAAAGCACTGCTGTTGTAACTATCCTTAGCTGAGCCAGAAAAGACAGAGGCAAAAAACTGCCAGCAGCAGGAAGAGAGGTGGATTGCATCAAAGATCCTAACGAGCCTACTGGAGACTGCTGCACATCAGCTAGCTAAGGAACAACCGTTATTCCAAGTTGGTGGTCCACCACACTATATTCCCCTTACCCCATAGTGCTCTTACATGTGTTTTAACACGTAATATCATAATTCCTAAGGACAAAAACCTGGATGAAGGAGGATTTCTTTATGCATTACAAACTACAACAAAATAGAAGTCCTGTACAAAATAGAAAGATTACAATACCTAGGATAAATACCTTATATTTCAGCTCATAAGTTGGGGGAGAGGGGGGAGCGCCACAGCAAATTTCAATTTGATCCTAGCTTACACAGTACCACCCAATTAGAGAGGTGCATTATTGTGTGTTGGAAAGAGGGGAGACATACCCTTCCTATAAAAAGGAAAGGAGGACTTGTGGCACCTTAGAGACTAACAAATTTATTTGAGCGTAAGCTTTCATGAGCTACAGCTCACTTCATCGGATGCAAGTCCTCCTTTTCTTTTTGCGGACACAGACTAACACGGCTGCTACTCTGAAACCTTCCTATAAAGGATCTGGTACTGTCCGCTGTCAGAAGTGGGGAGAGACTATTGGACTAGATGGACCATTGCTCTGTTCCAGTGTGGTAATTCTGATGACAATGTCTTTGGTGGGGTTTTTTTTGTTGTTTGTTTTTAAAACAACCAGTACCCCAAAAAAAGTTAAAAATCAGCAGTCTTGGGGAGCATAAAAGTAAAGTAAAATAACTTTTCTAAAAAGTTAGAAGTTTTAATACATAACACGTTTGTGAACGATTTTACCTGATCCTTCTTCAGCTAAGCTTTCCTTACCTGTTGCAGTCCCACTGTCGCTCTGCAGCAGTGCTCCTGTCACTGGTTGTGCGTTGTTTGGGTTTGCTCCAGGTGCTGAAGAGGGAGGAGGCCCTGCCCCACCCCCAAGTAGCATACAGGATGGCGGAGGGGGCTGCCCACGTTTCAGTAACACTTTGTGGTCCTGCTGGCAACGGAATCGCGGCGGCACCTCCCGAGGCATGTAGCGGGCGGCGCTTGGCGGTTGTCCGTTCGGCACTGCCACCCTTTTGGCATTGTTGCCACCATTGACTGGTGGCGATGGAGAGCTGCCAATTGGGCTGGCGGCCACTGGCTGGCTTGAACTTGGTTTTGTCACTTCGGGCACTGGAACACAAGAGGAAGGAAAGTTATAATTTTATAAGATACAAAACCTAACAAATGGATATAAGAACTCAGTGAAATTGAACTTTGATATGGCTATTCTCCTCTCAGAATACTGTACAAATTCAGCCCCATCAAGGAACCAGTTAAGTTAAGCAGAAACCGCATATTTGTATCTCATCACCAGTGGTTTAGACATCATGGGTGAAATCTCAGATTCAAGTTTTAAATTTAAACGGTCAATGATTAATACAAATGTTGTAATGTTTTCCTCCCTATTTCTTAATCTTTGGGGCACTGTTGTGTGCTGCCATATGGAAAATATGAATTTAGTTCCCAAGCTTTTACCTTGCTCATTAAGGATATGTTGTTACTACAAATAAAAGATGGGTGGGTTTCTTGTTTTGTACAGCGAGGAGACAACTCATTCCCGTTAGCTAACTCACTATAAAATCTTAGTGGAGACCAGAATGTGTCACTTTTACTGCACTGTAGGCCAGGTGAGGTCAAAGCACTGACCTCACCTAGTTACATCAAGGTAAAGACTACCTGGTACTTTATCTCCATTAGGGTTTTACAGCGAGATAGCTAACCCACATTTGTTTTAACAATGAGATAGCTAAACAAAAAAACCCATCATTTTGGGCAGTGACAATATACCCTAAGCCAGATAGAATCCACAGCTGCTAGAGGAAGGAAATGCCTTCTTTCATTCTGGAGCAACCCTCTCTGCCTGACCCAGGAATGTTTACATACTCTGTAATGAGATCTAGACAAAATGAGCTTGTATTTAAGGGCCTCTCTGAGGACCTTTGAGTAGAGGTAAAGCGGTAAGAGGGGGAAAATGAGGGAATCCTAGGGGAGCTTGTGCCTTAACAAAACTATCTTCATCTACTTGGGAGATTCCAAAACCAGTACACCTACACTCCTCTAGTCTCCACGTTTCTAGAAATGAAGCAAAGTAAGCTCACACATTAAAAAGTTTGGGAACAAAGGTAGCATTTGTTATACCCTAACCAGGTTGCTAGAAGTCAAAACATTTCACAAAGACATGCTCAGACTCCAAAACCAAGGACACATTTTAGAGTTGTAACTACTCCAGTCTCTCTTGTGGACTGAAGTAACAGTAGAATTAGAAGGGGTTATTCTCCCAAACATCACATTGCTGATGTTATTCACCTTTTAAATACAAGCAGAAACATACTTTTAGGAAAGCAGTAGAAGACCACAAGAATAGGAATTCCTCTAGAACAATAGATTGTGTTATATCCCATTTTTATCTTTGTAAACAGCTGGTGATGGGTTTTCTTACTTTCCTATGCAAGTTTCATTGTCCAAAAATTATTAGGAATTTTTTTTAATTTAAGCCAAATTACTATTTCTCCTTTGCTGCCTCTTTTTAATGGCTGTTTCCTCCACTACTTTCACAATGCTAGGATGCAAATTAGGTTCAATTATATTTTAAATCAGGTGAGCAAGTTATGATGCTTATCTACCATCTTTTCTGTCTCCATTTGACATTCACGTCTCAATGCTTTAACATCTCTTAATTCAACTCAGACAGCGGTAGAATGTATTCTACTCATTTTGGTGTTCCCTCATTAAAACTACTCTCTCTCACTCCCATTCTATGCATTTAGTCTGTCTCAGTTGGTGGCTGCACTTCTGAAAAACTGCACTTTTTTTAGGGATTTCAACATTAGCCTAATTCATGAGAGATCATCACAGTGAAGATATTTTAATTCAAAAAAGCCTACTTTTCTTCTTCAAACAAAACATTTTGAAGGCTGACTGAAAATGTTCCTATGTGTTCTCTTCTTGACCATTACTACTGCTGTTTCTGCTTACTACTCAGGCAGAAATGCCTCATCATGGGACATGAGAGTCTCCCTCCCTTATCCAAGAATTTTAGTCAAGGACAAAGGCCTGTTCTGAGCCTACACAAAACTATGCTCTATAGATTTAAACAAATTAAATCCCTTACCTTTGGTTTTTTGATCTGTGACCTGCAAATTAGAAACAAGGAAGTTAATAAAAGCAAGAAAAAACAGCTGCTCTACAATGCAGCCCTCATTTATTACTACTAGACCAGCCTCTCAGTTTAAAAATCAGCTGACAATCAAAAGCTGAAGTACCCTGCTCAAAAATATGTAAAGAAAGTTTTCAAGAGGACCAAGAGTTATTTATTATCACCTCTGAGACATATTTGGTCCAAACAAACAAACAGAGAGAAAGTAGTACTTCATTCATGATAATTTGTAAGATATTTTTCCACTGTAGCATTTTAAAGCACAAATACGTATTCACTCCAAATATGGCTTTTTAATATCATTAGAGGAAACCATTACCGTAACAAATTGCAATGCATAATGAAAAGAAACCTAAAGAATGTCACATACAGCCCCATAAGTGAGCACTGTTACAGTGACATCTCATGCTGCCTACAAGGACAACTTCAGTGAAAAGCACCAACGCATCTCTTTGCAGTCTTTCCCTTCACCTTTCTCCCCTGCCATTTTCTTTTCCAAGGAGAAGACAACTTCAATCTTATTATCACTATCACAAATGGGAATCTGCAATACCTCCAGCACCATCAGATTTCAAAATCCCATGAATGCAACAGGCTCTCTATAATGGACCTACTGAAGTGAACGATCACACCAGTCAACACACCCCCCCGCCCCATTTTTGCTTTTGCTGTACTTTTAAATTCTTTTCGCAGTGTAGATTTCCAGCTACAGTAGAATCAAATATGCCACTGGAATGTTCTCTGGAATTCTTTGTATTGTAGCATGTTTTGAACTTGTTGGTCATGAGCTCCTCTACACAATAAGGGAAAACCCCAAGATCATCATGTGTCAGGCTGTGTGTTACCTCTTCTTAAAAGAAATTGCTGAACCAGTCCCTAATTCTGGACGGTACAGTCACAATATAGAATAACAGAAGCACTACAAGTAAAAGGCTATTTATTGTCTACACCAACCTAGCCAGATCTCTTTTGTACAGTAAAGAATAATAAAAAGAAACACACCACTCAATTGCTGCCGGCATCATTCCACTTTGGAAAGATGCTCTTTGGGGTATGTGAACAGAACATATCCCAAAATATAAAATGCCATCCCTCCCCCCAAGCGGGCCTCAAAAGGGTCATCAGCTGCTGACTGTGTTGTGAGGCAAGTATACCTAGAGCATCCTTGTCCAACCTGTTTTTAAAAACCTCCAGGGATTTCCACAACCTCCCTTGGAAGCCTATTCCAGAACTTAACTATCCTTTTAGTTATAAAGTTTTTCCTAATACATAACCTAAATCTTCCTTCCTGCAAATTAAGCCCATTACTTCTAGCGTTTGCACCAAACCCTACATTGCATCCTTCATCCCAATGAGAGATTCTGTCCTTATGACTTTGCTAAAACTTTGAAAAGAAATCTGAAGAGATTTGTCACTGCACCATAGATTGCAATGATCTACCTACCTGTGGGAAACTCGGATCGTGAGCACTAAGAGGGGCTATGTTGAAGAAAGGGAAGAAGCCACTTCAATTTAACAATACTGGACAATCTAGTGACAAGCGTGAAAGACACAAAGCTAAAAAAAAAGCCCCCTCAATAGTTTTGATTAGAAAACAAACATTTTGTTATGCAGAGTTGCACATGTGATTTGTTTGTAGATTACCTTCTCTCATATTTCGTGAGAAAAATGCATCACTGGCAAGAAAAGAAATTCTTTGACACAGAACAACAATTTTTAACAACTTCCCAACCTCTATCAGCACTGTCTTAAAAATGTAACAGTAGCTGCCCTAAAACCTATTTACCACTTTGTGTTCAAATATATTATTGAACACAATGCAAAGAGACTTTCATCCCTCTTCCGCTGATCAAGACTTTCTTCCCCTTATCCCCAAATCTTTGCCCCTAAAAACATTACTACAAGACGAGCCTCTAGAAGATAAACAGATGTCATCTTCCCCAGGATTTTGGGTGGATACCATAACGGCAAACTACTGGAGAAAGTCACGTTGTATATTCTTTGGCAGGCAGTGGTCAACAATCTAAAAGTGGCAAGCATTTGACTTCTACATTCAGAACTCTGAATACTCAACAAGATCCAACAATGATGTTTCAAGATGATCAATAATCTTTTCAATGAGCTAGCCGCCTCTTCTTCCTGCTTCCTTCTCCTGTACTTGAGTTATTACAAGTTTACAAGAGCAGCCTGATCTTCTGTAACAAGCTTTCCAATTTGCTCTTGGATCACTAAATACCAGCGTGCTCGCCTCATAGGTCACTTTTCTTCTCAGAGGGTGCTGGTGAAGCAGCTCTTGGCTCTGCACATCATTAGATTTGGGGGGGTGGGGGGGTGGGATAACGGTTACTCACCTTCTCGTAACTGTTGTTCTTGGAGATGTGCTGTTCATGTTCATTCCAATCAGGTGTGTGCGCACCGCGTGCACAGTTGTCAGGAAGTTTTCCCTTGGCAGCTCCCGTCGGGTCAGCTGTGGGGCCCCCTGGAGTGACACCTTCAAGATGCTCTATATAGGACCCTGCTGACTCCTCGGTTCCTTCTTACCGGTTACTCCAACAGAGGAGTAGGAGGGTGAGTATTGGAATGGACTTGAACACCGCATCTCGAAGAACAGTTATGAGAAGGTGAGTAACCGTTTTTTTCTTCTTCGAGTGCTTGTCCATGTCAACTCCAATCAGGCGACTCCCAAGCTCCATCCCAGAAGTGGGGTCGGAGTTAAGGAAACGCTGATTGGAGCACCGCTCTGCCGAATGCTGCATCATCTCTGGCGTGCTGGGTAACAGCATAATGAGAGGTGAACATATGCACCAAGGACCACGCTGCTGCACTGCAAATTTCTTGTATTGAGACCTGGGTCAGGAACGCTGCTGCTGAGGCCTGTGCCCTCGTGGAATGTGCCGTAAGTGCCAGGGCTGGGATCTTGGCCAGCTCGTAGCACGCGTGGATGCAGGATGTGATCCAGAAAGATATTCTTTGAGATGAGACTGGGAGTCCTTTCATTCGGTCTGCTACCGCTATGAACAGCTGGTTCGATTTCCTGAACGGCTTAGTGCACTCGATGTACAATGCTAGCGCTTGCCAAACATCCAATGAGGGTAGCCTCTGCTCTCGACTACTGACTGGCATGAGGCTTAGGATAGAAGACAGGATAGAAAAATGTCTTGGCTAGTATGAAAGAGTGACACTACCTTGGGAAGAAAGGCTAGGTGAGGCCTGTGTTGCACCTTATTCTTGTGGAAGGCTTGGTAGGGTGGATCGGAGGTAAGGGCCTTTAGCTCTGACACCTTCCTAGTTGATGTGATGGCCACCAGGAAGGCTACCTTCCACAATAGATAGAGAAGGAAGCAAGTTGCTATTGGCTCAAAAGGGGGCCCCATTAATTTGGAGAGGATAAAACTGAGGGGACAGGGACAGGCTCTCTGTTCTGAGGATGTAGGCACTGCAAACCTTTGAGGAAATGGCCTACCATGGGGTTAGCAAATGCGGGTCGGCCGGACACTCCCAGGTGGAAGACTGAGATAGCAGTGAAATGTATTTTGATGGAGGACGCTGCCAGTCCTTGTTGTTTCAGGTACAGAAGGTACTCTAGAATAAGTGGTACAGATGCCTGTACTGGAAGTGTATGCTGCTAGGCACACCAGCAAGAGAACTTTTTCCACTTAGCTAGATATGTGGCCCTAGTAGATGGTTTCCTACTGCCAAGTAGGACCTCCCTTAGTGGTTCTGAGCACAGACGCTCCATGGGGTTTAACCATGAGGCTTCCAGGCCATAAGATGGAGGGACTGGAGGCCCAGTGGTAAAGGCGACCGTGGTCCTGAGTGATCAGATCCGAATGCAGTGGTAACTCAATCGGAGTGTCCACTGACAGTTCCAGGAGCGTGGTGTACCAGTGTTGTAGGGGCCACGAGAATTATCTCTGTTCGGTCCCTGTGGACCTTGAGAAGTACCTTGCGCATGAGAGGGATAGGGGGGAAAGGCGTACAACAGGCGGCCTCCCCAGGGAAGCAGAAACGTCATCGAACCAGGACTGATTCTGGAAGGAGCAGAACATTGGACACTTCCTGTTGCTCCTGGTGGCGAACAGTCGACCTGGGGAAACCCCCACCCTTGGAAGATGAACTGTATGACATCCGGATGGATCGACCACTTGCAATTGCAGAACGATCTGCTGAGATGGTCCGCTCGTTCGTTTTGAACTCCTGGGAGATAGGATGCCTCCATGTGAATGGAGTGAGCTATGCAGAACTCCCACAGCCAGAGAGCTTCTCGACACGGGGGAAGGAACGGGCTCCACCCTGCTTGTTGATGTAACACATGGCAGTGCTGTTGTCCGTCATCACTACCACGCACTGACCTCGCAGCCAGGCCTGAAAGGTTTGGCATGCTAATCGTACTGCCCTGAGTTCCTTTGTGTTGATATGAAGGGGAAGCTCCTCCCGTGACCATAGGCCCTGTGTTTGGAGGTCTCCCAAATGCACACCCCATCCCAGAGCTAACACGTCTGTGACAAGGGACAAGGAGGGCTGGGGGCTGTTGAATGGAACTTCCTCGCAGACTGCCTGAGGGTCAAGTCACCATTGGAGGGACTCAAGTACTTGCCCTGGCACCGTGACCACTACGTCCAGGCTGTTGCATCCCAGGCAATAGGACAAAGCAAGCCACACCTGGAGTGGCCTAAGCCTCAGTCAGCCATGGCAGACCACTTAACTGCAGGCTGCCATGTGGCCGAGGAGACTCAGGCATCCCGTATAAAAATCCTGCCTCCGCCGAGGTGGATATGGGCAGTGTTGTTGCAGTTGGGGCTTGAAATGTTGTTGTTGGGTTACCGGGGTGTGCATACCCAACAACTTCGTAGTCGCCCGGGAGCCTTTGAGACTGCAGCTTGGAGTTTGTTTGCTCCGAAAATGACCCTGCACCTTCAAATGGTAGGTCCTGCAGGGTTTGTTGCAGCCCCGGGGGCAACCCGGACGGCTGTAGCAATGAGCTCCTCCTCGTGGCTACTCCTGAGGAAAGGGTGCGGGCGGCTGAGTACGCAGAGTCCAATGAAGTCTGGAGGGAGGTTCGCGCCACTGCCTTCCTTTAAACTTCAACATGGAGGCCCATGAGTTGAAGTTGTACCTGCTGAGGATAGCTTGCAGGTTAACTATCCTCAGCTGCAGGCCCTCAGTTGCGTAGATTTTCCTGCCAAAAGGGTCCATCCTTTCGACTCCTTGGATTTAGGGGCCGGCCCTTGCTGCCCCATCTCTTTCTCATTCATCACCGATACTACGAGGGAGCATGGTTGCAGGTGAGAGAACAGGTACTCGTATCCCCTGGAGGAAACGAAGTACTTGCACTCTACGCCCTTGGAGGCAGGTGGGATTGAGGCAAGGGTCTGCCAGAGTCTTAATATTGCTCTGGATAGTTTTTATTAGTGGCAGAGCTACCCTGGACAGTCCCTCTGGCACAAGGATGTCAACCATGGGGTCTTCAGGTTCGACCACCTCCTCCGCCTGTAACCTCATGTTACGTGCAATCCTTCATAGAAGGTCATGGTGGGCCCTGTGGTCAATTGGAGGGCCCGAGGTTGAACCTCCCACCACCGCTCCGTCCGGGGACGAAGATGGGGAGGCCAGAAGTGGTACTGGGTCCTTCTGATCCTCCAGTGACCATAGCCGAGGTGACAGTATCCTGGCCTTGCAAATGGGTCATGCCTTGGAGTTGCCTTGGAGGCGACCTAGACCAACTATGGGGCTTGCGCCAAGGTTTCCTCAGAACCACGGGGCATAAGCCAGTCTTTGGCTGTTTGGAGTGGTCGGTGCTCTGAGGCCACTGAACAGGAGCTTCTGAAAAGGAGCCCTAGGCCTGATGGTAAGCCCAGGGGGTCCAAAAAGGCCATTGCGCCAGAGGTTGCCACTGGGGTTGCCATGCCATTGGTGCCTCTCTCTGTCGCTTGTCAGATGGGAATAGTATGAATCACCATCCGAGGCAGAAGACACGGATCTCGACTGAGATGATCACGATGGCACCGCAAGGTACTGCGCCGGGGACCTATGCAGAGTTGATGATTCAGGGGACTGGCGTCAAGATGCCTGGGCCAGGGACCAATGCCAGTCCTCTCTTGGAGCCGGGGATGGCTGCCTCTCCCTTGTCGGTGGCGGGGAGCGTTGTGCTGCTGGTGCCGGGGACCCCTCATGGAGTCCGGTGCCGGGGAATCCATCATGGAGTCCGGTGCCAAAGAGCAGTGCTTTGAGGATGGCGATCTGCAGCGGTGCCGAAGCAAACGGTGCCGGGCAGAAGAGGGTGACCATTGCATCATGGCCGGCTTACTTCTAGAGGGTGCTGGTCGCAGTGGGGGCTTATCTCTGATCACCAGGGGCTGAGGAGGCATCATCACTATTAAGTCTCTGGCGGCTTCAAAAGTGTCCGGGGTGGAAGGTAACTTCAACTCCTTCACCTTGCACTTCCCATCCCAGGAGTCGCTGTGCCGTGGGAACCGAAGTCGATGGGGCTGACTCTTGCTGCCTGGACACCGAGGGCTCCTTTACTGGATGCCCCAGTACTGCGCCTGCAGGTCCCACTGCTTTATGCACCGGCGATCTCCCCGTTAGCTTTTCTATGCTGCTTGTACAGCACCAGTGAATGCAAGTGGTGCTGGGTTGCCTGTGCATCCTGCAGTGCCAGTGCCCAGGGTCTCTCAGACTAAAGTCCTTCCTCAGCACCATGTCACGTACCAATGCCGGGGCACTCCATACGGACGTGTTCGGTGCGGGGTCCTGGTGGTCTGCAGCAGATTGGGGATGAAGGGGCAGATTCCGTAAGCAACTGCTTCAATCAGAAATCTCACGCCTTTTTAGTTCTGGGGTGGAAAGCCCTGCAGAGCTTGCACCTTTCTGTCTGGTGCGCCTCCCCCAGACACAAGTCGTGGGGGTCGCTCGTTAGCATAGGCTTGCTGCAGGTTCTGCAGAGTTTAAAGCCTTGGGCTCACAGCATGCACCAGAGCCCAAGGAGGTGTGGGGGGCGGGGAGAGAGAAAAAGAGAGAGAGAGAGAGAGAGAGAGAGAGAGGTGTTGGGATTAGGGAAATACGTTCCCAAACCTCACTATATACAATAACTAAGACTAACTACAACTAAACTAGGCTAAGCTAACTATATAAAGAACACTAAGGAAAGCACTTGCTAAGCAAGGGACCACAGTTTCAACAACAGTCACTGGTGGTAAGAAGGAACTGAGGCGGGGCTGGGTCGGCAGGGTCATATATTGAGCGCCATGAAAGCGTCACTCCAGGGGGCTCCACAGCCGACCCAATGGGAGCTGCTAAGAGAAAAATTTCTGACTGTGCACACACACCTGACTGGACCGGACATGAACAAGCACTCAAAGAAGAAAATGTCAGTTATTTTTATTTTTTATACTCCACTATTAAGAAGCGATAGGGAAGTGAAATGTAACAGTTTTGGGATAAATCAAATCAGATCTTCCAGTAAATTTACTGAAAAAAACTGTACTGATATTAATACTTTTATATCAGTGTAACTGCACTATAAATACATCCACACTGGAGGCTGCACTGTTAACTGTATCAGTTCCTAAGCTAATGTAGTTAAATTGAAGGAACAACTGTATTTAGACAAGCCTTTAGTAGGCCAAAGTGAAACTGGCATAGGATTATTTCATAGCCCTCTTTCAGTAAGAATCCACACAACATAACTGAAACAATACCAGCTGAAGTACTCAGTGACATTAATAGGCTTTTTTGGCCTGGCAAGAACGGATAGTAGTTAGCTTCACTTATGAGGATTCCTTTCTGCTCCTGGTTTAAAAGATGTTTCTTAATACAAACACGGAAATGTTTCAAACAGACCCTTTCCATGTCACAATTTTTGTCAGTTCCTGAAACAGTATCTAGACTTCTTGGAAGCCATTTCAGGTAACACTTTGATTAGCAAACTGCCTGCTCAAAATCAGTAGCTGGGCACAACAACTGTTTACAATGCCCCTCCCCCTCCCCCAACCACACACATTTCTCTAAGACTGAAGATTCAGAAAAAGATGGATCATGAAAGGGGCTTTACTATTAAACTATCCATTTATTCCTTCTCTTTTATGCCCCCTCAAAATAAAAAAAATCCCATATTTCCTCTCCCAAATGTCAGTTTTGAGCTGACGCAAAATTTCACTGCAGAGAGAGGTATATATAAACAGCTGGAGGTGCAAAGATCAGAAGAACCACTGTTCAGTGCCCCTACAATACTGCTCTATAACATAATGAAGACAGTTAATCTCCTCCTCCCTCCAGTCCTCTAAAAATAACAAAAGAAATCCCAACCATACCACACAATTAAACTTTAAGCAAAACTAACACAAAACCCAGAATCCTCAATGAGGCATTGCCATACTTCAGACAATGAAGCATTTTCACAAAGACTCAGTAAGTAAAGAAGCAAACACTTGCTGAACAGGGTTCTATATAGTTAACAATTGGGGGTAGGGAGACTTCAAATAACAAACCTACCTTCTGAGTAGATTCCTTCTTTTTCTTATCCTCTTTCTTCCTTTTCTTGTCTTCCATTAACTGTTCTTCCCTTTCTTGCTCCTTCTCTCTGTCAAAACCAAATAATTTATCAAGACACAGACGAACTGTGCGCATGCACACACATTCACACTCATTCTCTCTCCATTCCTCTGCCAAGGAAAGTGAGCTGAAACAACAGACTTAGATCTCTTCCATCTCTAATCTGACAGACAAGAGAACATGGGCAAATATTTTAGTCCATTCAGAATCTGCTCTTGGGGGTTTATATCAAGCCCAGATTGTAAGTTGTATTTGGTAGCTCAATATGGTCCCAATCGTACAACTTGTAGTGCACGAGAAAACCCCTTTACCTACAGAATGTCCCATTCAAGTCAACCCTTGTACACATTAAGTACATGCCTGCCAACAGCCCGAGGAGGATTTTTTTAAATGCTTATGAAATTGGGCTGTACTACCTGTATTATTTCCTGAAAAATCCTGTGCATTTTTCCCCTGACAAAACACAGAAACTGTAATTCTAATATATAATGATTTGGTCTCATATGGCATTTATCTTCACAAGTGGAAGATTGTTCATTTGCTTGTAGCTATGTCATTTGTAAGCCATTAGGTGTGTCATATCAAATCTAAAACATCATTTATTATACAAAACTTTAATTTCTAGGATATTGTACCCACCTACAGTATTTTTTGTGATTAAGCATACATTAAAAATGACTTTCCAGGGGATCTTTTTTCATGGGCTCCCTCCTCCCCCCCAAAAAAATTATCTTGGGCAGATGCTGCCGTTGTCATGCTATCATCTTTGTTGCTATGTTTTCTATTAAATATGAATGTGCCAGAAAATGATTGGTTAATTCACCACATCTATGCTACAGGGTGAGCTGTTTCTATGGTGAGTCACATTTTCATCTGATTGGCGATCTTAATCTACTCCAAGGGAATTTGGACCAACAAGATTTCAACTTGCCTGGAATAATTTCATTCTACTAGGTGGAGTTGAGGACAACTAATGTAAAAAAATCTGATGGCTGATGAAGGTATGAGGGTTTTGGGGGGATAGGGTGTGCAAAGGAAGCAGGAAGACTGTATCCCATACATTTTGAAGATGACAGGTTTCAGAGTAACAGCAGTGTTAGTCTGTATTCGCAAAAAGAAAAGGAGTACTTGTGGCACCTTAGAGACTAACCAATTTATTTGAGCATAAGCTTTCGTGAGCTACAGCTCACTTCGTCGGATGCATATTGTGGAAACTGCAGAAGACATTATATACACAGAGACCATGAAACAATACCTCCTCCCATCCCACTCTCCTGCTGGTAATAGCTTATCTAAAGTGATCACTCTCCTTACAATGTGTATGATAATCAAGTTGGGCCATTTCCAGCACAAATCCAGGTTTTCTCACCCTCCGTGAGTTTGTGGGGGGGAGGGGGCGGAGGGTGAGAAAACCTGGATTTGTGCTGGAAATGGCCCAACTTGATTATCATACACATTGTAAGGAGAGTGATCACTTTAGATAAGCTATTACCAGCAGGAGAGTGGGATGGGAGGAGGTATTGTTTCATGGTCTCTGTGTATATAATGTCTTCTGCAGTTTCCACAGTATGCATCCGATGAAGTGAGCTGTAGCTCACAAAAGCTTATGCTCAAATAAACTGGTTAGTCTCTAAGGTGCCACAAGTACTCCTTTTCATTTTGAAGATGGACAGTAGCTTACAAATATAATTTACCATGTTTCTTCATGAGGAAAGAGATTCAATTGGCAGATATACACAAAATATTCAGACTATTTTAATTTACATTAATGCATAGCACTGTCAGATTTATAAAGCTTTGAAATGCATAACAGTTAACACATAGATGTGTTTACATTGTACTGGAATAGGCAAAAGACATACGGCCATTGACTGAAATGCTTATGCCACAGAAGTATAAGAATTTAAAAATAAAACTCAAATTTACTTTAGTATAGGACTACAAATTCCCCAAAATAAAGTGCCCTCTCTTGTGAATAGGTTTGAACAAGAAAGTTGAATAAATATCTAGTATCCCTTCATCAGAGATAGCTACTCCACAGAGGTTTCCTCCCAAAGGCTATCCTATTTCAGTCGGCTTCTAAATTTGCACTCTCACATGCTATTACCACACTCATGTGTACAGAAAGGCATTTGTGTAACCAATCACTGAATTTGCACATATAAAATCAGAAACCACTTTTTGAACAATTCCTTTTCTGAAGCCTGATATAGACCAAGATTTTAAGACGCTCTCTTTGCACATGAAAGCCATAAGGGTTCCAGGGAGATTAACAGAACAATTGTCTGGTTTCCTGATCTCAGGCTATCCTGCTGAAAAGAGCCACCATCCTTCGGTCTATGAGCAAATGGAGTGCACACAGACTGGCACGTCCCCATTTCACAGAATTCAAAGCAAGTATTTCATGTCATGCTGACACACCCAAAGTCTAGTAGTTTATAGACCAGCTCAGTTCTCACTCTCTCCTTTGCTCTACAAAATGTCAAAGTGCACTTTCCAGCTCCACGCCCTGGCAACGAAAAATCCCACCGTTTTTCAGTTGTACTGACAAGCATATGATAGGGAGTGAAGAGGAGCGCCTACTCTATACTATCATAAAATTAAAGAGTAAAAACTGAACACATTTTCATTTTTGCTTGAACCTGTGTTTGTAACCAAAATATAAATCAAACTCTCTGTTCTGATACTTGGATTTTAAGCTATTAAAACAGAATCAGGGTTTGTTCTTTCATGCTGTAAAGACATTTTAAAATCATGTAGTATAAAGTATGCTTTCTGGTCTATGTGTGTCAGTTATAAATAGTACCATGACTGAAAAGCAATTATTTCTAGTAGTATGTGCAAGATGTTAAAGAGCTGTACAAAAGGATCTGCTGAAAGAGACACTAAAAATGTAATTCAATTACAACAACTTGTGATGTCAAAAACACCAGACTTAGCAATAGTGGACAGCTGAGTCTAACATCAGGCCATATGGATAAGTTTCTCTTTTAAAGTAGTTTTCCTCCTTTTGGAAGTGGACGGGCAAGGATTAAATGTGTAGGGAAGGAAATCAGGACAAGAATTCCGTGCAGTCAGGAACCTAAAGCTGAAGATATACTTTACAACAGGCTGTAATCGAAACAGCTAGGGACAGTGGCTTTGAAGATTATAAATTGAAGATCTAGCTGTAGTTATTCGCTTTAGTGAGGACATACAGAATGGAAGGTGATTACAGGAGATGCCTGCCTTCGGGAGTACATGGGAAATTAAGCAAAAGGAATTAGTGTTAAGACTCTGGAGAACCTCCTGTCTTTGAATTACTTAACCTCTCTTTCATTCTATGAGCTATTTTACAAGGATATTTTAATATTTTACAAAGATTATGCTTATCAGAACATCTGTCAAAAACTACGGTAACAAATAAAAACAATATTTTGTAATTATTTAGGCCCTGATTCAGCAAACGTAAGCATGTGCTTACGTTTCATTGAGTTCAATGGGATATAAGCATTTGCTAAAGTGATTTGCCGAAGTGAGGCAGAATACAGAGGATCCCAAACTCTTGACAAACATGAATTAAGCCTCACACCCCTGGGAGGTAAGAAATTATCCCTGTGTAATGGATGGAGAATCTGGGGCCCATACAAACAGCTGAAACTGCTGTATTACACCAAGTGCTGTCAAACACACAAGTGAAAAAAAGGAAATAAACCGGAGAAAGTGTTCTGTTACAATCTAATAGCACTTAGATCTCTTCCATCTCTAATCTGACAGACAAGAGAACATGGGCAAATATTTTAGTCCATTCAGAATCTGCTCTTGGGGGGGTCTATATCAATTTATAATATTGATTATATTAAATGCTATAACAATAATAGATATAAAATTTCATACAAATGTGACTTTCAAATTGAAAGTGTCCTACAACTTCTCCTATCGGGATCACATGGGAAGCCTGTAAAAAGCTGCAAACAGAACCCAGGAATCCAATCTACCAGTGCTTTTCTCCCATTCAAGGGGTCCAGAGTACACATGTGTTACGCCTAGTGACTGACTGCTTTGACTGACAAGTTCAACATTGGAAGATAATGTACTAGTTCTAAATTAGTAAACAAAGTAATACAATGGCATGGGGGTCCTGTTTTTGTTTGCAACACAGTTATCAGTAGATCGACATCACATCTCTGAAAAGAAAGTTTGCTAAGCTGCAAGGAAGAGCAAGCATTTTACTCGTCTTTACAAAAGCCTGTGTATATTTTAAAAGTTCTATCAATCCAACAGCTGTGCTGTACTATTTCTGCAAAATCTCATATTTGTAACTTTTTATTGTAAATAAAATCATTTTGGTGGCATACAATAAAATTCCATTTCCATCTTTAAAAGTAAGCAGTAATTCATCTTGACACTTTTTAAAAGAAGGGAATTTGTGGGTTTTAATCCCTCAACTTCATTTTATGCTTTTAAAAAGTATCATAATGGGGACTTAATACATTCACAATATCTTCTTATTAAAGTCTTGAGGACAACCACTTTTGCCTAAAACAGCACTGAGAAGCAGCATTTATTTAAGTCAGAAAGAAAGGCAAACTCTCCAGCTGGTCCACAACTATTTTATAGTATTTTATTAAGAGCTTCTAAATTATCTAACAATAAAGGAAGAATGGCCCAGATTTTCAAAAGTGATTAGGGAGCACTGAACACCTATCCTCTGAAATTCAGGCTCTATTAGTATGTTTCAAGTTTGGCACCCAAAATCACTTAACTGTTTTGAAAATCATGGCTTTTATTAAATTTAGCAGAAAATTTGTATTTTTATTTCTGAGAAATCTGTATGTACCAAAGATTCCTATTGTCCTTATTGTCACACTGCCTCTGACACAGAAAGATCACACAAGCTTTCAGAAGTTTAAATTTTTGATTGTCGGGCTCAACGGGTAGTGATCAATGGCTCCATATCTAGTTGGCAGCCGGTATCAAGTGGAGTACCCCAAGGGACGGTCCTGGGGCCGGTTTTGTTCAATATCTTCATAAATGATCTGGAGGATG